ATATGAGGCTTTATACTTTTCGCGAAATCGAAATAATTATTGGTTATTATGTGGTGATCGGGAGTTAGAGTCACGGACTCTATTTTTTTTTAAAAAAAAAAATTGTTAAATTAAACAACATTCATTATTAATAAATTATTCATTTTTTTCTTATATTTTTTCTTATATTTATGTTTACCAGTTAAATCAGTACTAGGTGAAATATATTCCACTTTTAAAAATTCAGTCTCATCTTCATAATCACAATGTGCAATCAAATAAACTTCTGAGAACTTTAATTTCCCATTGATAACATCTACGCAAATTTTATCATTTACTGTTATCCCAGACATTGGTACCAAGTTACCTCCTTCAAGAATAACCTTTGTGTCTAACTTGAAACATTTCTTTGCTGCCTCTTCTTTAGCTATTCTTCGCCCAATTTCATCAATTTGTTCTTTCAATTTCTTAATTTCCTCTTGGCTGATTTTATTTTCTTGTTCAAGAAGAGCAATTTTTTCACATTCCTCACGCGCTTGCCGAACTTTATTAAATGTTTCTGTTGTATAAGCTTCAGGAAAATTATTAATAAATTCCTTGGCATTTTCCATATTGTTATTTACAATTTTATGGCCTTTTGGGAATAAATCTGGATTGGGAGATATAATATATCGATATCCAATAGAATCAAGAAAAGATTTTAACTTTGGGCTTAAGCTTTCTAGTAACTTTTCTTTATTCCCCGTTTGTTTTAAATTACAATAAGTTAAAGCAACTATCATATGGTTTAGAGCTGGTTCACCAAGAAAGCTTTTGATTTTTTTGATTGTTTGTGAATCAAAGGGGCGATCTTTTTCTATTAAATATTTATAATATTTTATGGTGAATAATTATGAATGAAATTAATGAAGTAAATATTAACTTACTAATAACAAGCACAATTGCCTGAATTCCATAAGAACAATGATTAATTGCATCAGCAATCTTATTTAAAGATTCATCACTTTTGACATCTTCATTGGGATCAAACAAACCTTTAAGAAAGAAACATCCAAATGAAGTAATTTTAATATACGTATATATTTATTTATTTATTTATATTTACGCAATAATAATCATGAATTAAATAATTACCTGGAGTATCAATAAGATTATAAGTGCGATTCTTGATTTTAATAATTTTAATTAAGCGGGATTTACAGATATTGGTAACATGATCCTAAAAAATGAAAGGGTGATATTATAATTTCAAACCATTCACACAAGAAATTCTCTAAAACACATACGTTACTGCCTCCAATTTCAAATGGACCATTGTCACCATGATATCCTAATAACCAATTTCCGAATGTACTCTTACCAGCACCTGCTTCTCCTATTATCAAAATAGCTGGATGCTGAATTACACAAACTTGTTCATTTTTTTCATGAGATGGCTCATTGAGATCTATTTCTTCAATTTCTTTGCGCATATTTTTCGTGTTATTATGATTTTACAAAAAAAAAAGATATCAATAATATTTTTATTTCTTTTGGGCGTAGGCGTAAAAATCAAAAGATTATATATTATATAATGATGATATAATGATTTTTACTTTATACTAATACTGCAGGGGGTTTAAACACATTAGACCGTTATAACGTCATACCATTTCGTCACTAATATTTAAACTCTCCAACTCTCTAACTCTCTTGGTCAACAAAAAAAGAATTATTTTATTTATAGAATATTATATTAATAAATTTACCAATAAAGAGTCGTCGTTTAAAAAAAAATGGAATTATATTAATAAATATTATAATAAATATTATTGCATAAATAAAAGATCCATTCTTGCTCATAATTACGTTGCATCCCATCAAAGATAGAAGTAAAATAATTTTTCAATAACCTTGCGTTAACGAGAATACTTTGTTCGTTTAACCTTACTTTCAAGTATCATGACTGTTTTTTTTTAATAGTTTTTTCAATTATTTATATCTATTTACAATTTTTTGTTTTCGCTTTCCTTTTTGCTTCTTCATTTGTTTTGCTTGTTGTTACCAAATCATATATCTTTTAAGAATAATAATTTATGATTTTTTATCTTTCTTAATAATATTAATAAAGTAAAAATTGTTAATTTTTAGTTTGGAAAATAAATAAAATAGAATATATGCAAAATATATTCAAGCATCTGAAATTGTACTCTATTAAAGATTTTGCCATGCATTTTCATTAGTATAATAAATTTTTCACGTTTTAAATATCACGTAAAAATATATCTTGTGAAGAAGTAAACTTTTAATATTTTCCATGACAAACAACAGACAACCAAGAAAAAAGGAAGGATAAATATAAAAAAATAAGAAACTAAGAAAGAAAATATAGAAAGAAAAGAAAAACTAAGAAAAAAAAGTAAGAAACCAAAGAAAATAAAGAATGAATAAGGTTAAAAGGAAGAAAATAACGAAGATAAAAAAAAAGAATAAATGAATAAACGCATAAACAGACGGAGAAAAATGAAGAGAAAATGTAATAACAATTAATACAAAAAGAAAATTCCACCATGACTCTTCCTTCTACAAAAGTAATTCCACACCTCATCATCATCATATCTGAACCTTCTCTGTTTTCTTCTCTCGTCAACATCACACAAATCCCTTCTTTAAATAAATAAATGAATATCTATAAAATATATAAAATTAAACAAAAAAGAATAAAAATAATACTTACTCCGCTGTACACTTAATTTATCCTCAGCTTGCTTGCCCTTCTTTCCTCTTCATCCATCGCTATCTTCCTCAACTCCGCTTCTCTCACCAGCTCTCTATAAGCAATAAAAAAAAGCAAACAATTATTTAATTTAATTTATTTTTTTAAAAAAAAATGAGCTATTTTTATGTTATACTTACAATGCTTTCCTCTCACCTTTAATAATAGTATCATGAAAAAGTTAATAAACATATTTATTTATTTTTTTTATTGAAGAAAGATATAAACTTACTTTCAAAATATTATTCATATCATATCTTGGATTGAATCCGACGCAACATAATGGCCTGAAAAAATTCCATTCATCGAAGAAATCGTCCTCAAATTTTTGGCTCTTTAATTAGAAAATTTAGAAATCGATATATAGAATTCGAAAATATTTTTAATAATAATAAACTTCATAATCATACTTTTTATGAAATACTAAATCTATTGTATCAATTAAATAATTTAGAGATATGAGAAAAGTTAAAGATTAAATGGGAAACTAAAGTTGACAAATGTATCAAAAGCGGATTTAATTGAATAAAAATTTTTAGATCATGAATAAACGAATAGATTGAGAAAGAACATATATTCTACACATTTTACATGTCAATCTCCTCTTTATGATCGTTATGAACTTTTACAAGCATTACTCGTAATAAACATTTTAATATTATTCTTTATTATATTATTGAAAACTATAAAGTCGTATAAATTTAATACAAAGAAGAGAACTTATTATAGTATATTGATTAACAATGAACAATTTGAAAATTGATACTTTACATTTTTTCATTTCACTATTACTTCGGTTTGGCATGACTCAAGTCTCGAGTTTTAATTCATAAAACGTTATCATCATTATTATGTAATAAAGGTAATTTGATTTTACTATTCTTTCTTTAATTACTTTCTATTAATTTTTCTTAACTTTATTCTGTCACCACAAACTTGAATTGAACATGTTGAAGATTCCAATTCATTTGGATATTCATTTAAACATATCTGCAGTGGTTCTTTCAAAATTTAGAAACGTGAAATTATTTCGATGGTACGAATCTAACGATTAATAGTTAGTGTGTAAATATTAATCCAATTCTAATAATAGTAATAATGGTTCTAATAATAATTTCGAATTGTTTATAATATATATATATATATAATTAAATAGTTTACTTTTTTAACTAACTAATTTACACTTTACAAGTCACACTTTTGATATCATTTTTCATGTAGGATGAGACATTATACTAATTCAATTAATTTAAATATATGTAAACTTGCTTTTCTTTGGTCAAATTTCATTTAGACCTTTCAAATAAATGAATTTAATTTATTCTCTTTTATATTTTGCAAAATATAATGTATAGATATTGTATATTCGGTAATGAAGCATGCACATGTATTATAAAGTATGTGATTTTTGATGAGAATATTTATTTTAGGAATGGATCAGTTCAGTTATCTAAATTAGAATGATAATCAATTTTAATTATCTGTTTGTTTTTTATGCATTATTTTATATTCCCCGAGATCTTCGTGGGGTAGAAGATTTTTTTACCCCATTTTTAATAATCTTGTTCTTGTGATAAAATAGATTAATTGTAATAACAAACAAAAAACTTTAGGACCTTATTTTTATATGTAAATATTCCTCCGGAGAAGGAGGGGAATGTTTGAGTGTTTATTTATGTGAATGTGTTGATAATATTTATTTGCCAAAGTACTCAGTGTGAACTGTGTGATTGGTCAAAAAAAAAAAAATAAAAAAAAAAAAAAAATATACATTATAATTTGTGATTTATAATAAGAAACATAGTTTTAACACGAGAGAATCAAAAACAAAGAGAATGGATTTCTTTCATGATTTCTGTTATGGGAATTTTTATTATCAAGCCAAAATTATAATGCGAGAATTAAAAAAAGTGAATGGATTTCTAATTTTAAAAATATCAGGAAAAACATTCCAAAAATTCTAAAAATAACTGATAAGTGACGAAATTTATTACATAATATTCGTTTATTTCATTATGAGGGTTCCAAATAGAAATTCAATATATCAGATAATGCGTTTATTTTACAAAAAAAAACCTGAATTACTAAATCGATATGACTATGAAATTGATTTCTACAATGAACTACAATGAACGTAATGGATGTTCAAAAATAAATATTAAAAAAAGTGACACAGATATAAGATTACCATTTTCTTTAATCAATTAAAATTGTTTAATATTTTCCGTGGTATTTTTTTTTGTATAAATAGAATTAAATAAAATTAGTTCAAAATTAAAATCAAATTAAATTACTATTTTATTATTAATAAATAAATATAAGAAGAATAATAATAATTAAAATATGGAATCCGAAAGTTCAGAAAAACATTCTCCGTCGACCACTGCGACCACCGATAACACTCAAGCATTTACACCCAATAATACAACCACTACACAAATTCCTTTAACAGAATCAACCAACATTCCTAAAGATGCTGTTGGTCATATCGTCGATGTCGCCAAAGCACCATTTCATAATCAAGAAGATACGGAAAATTATGTTATTATTCCAAATACTTCATACTTCGTTTATATGACTCGAGCCGTTAGAAATTTATTTATGACCTTCGTATTTGATTGGTCGCTAGCAATACTTCATCCTTTAACCTTTTTAACTTATATTATCATCGTTCCAATATTGTTGTTTTCATTGCTCGCAGTAGAAATATTTTTACGCATAGGATTTTATCTTGGATTAGAAAATTATGTAAATTACATGTCAGCGAAATGGGGAAAAGGATTAAGTACTGTCAATTGGTGTAAGTATTATCATATCCATATTTTATTTTATTTTATTTTATTTATTTTTTATAAATAATTATATAACATGACATAAAAATAATATATTACATTTTATTATTATATTATATTATTAGGGAATCCTGATATGTTTTCGGATAAAACGTTGAAAATAGTAAAAGATGGAATTATCGGATTGGATAAACCACCTCCAGAACCTTTAAAAGAGGAAGCTCTTGATGATGACGTTACAATTCAAACCCGAAATTTTGATCTTGATATGGCGGAATTATTATTATTTATATCTTCCATAGTTTACGAACGTAATGAGAAACTTGTACGCCAAGCCAATGAAGCTATTACAGCATTAACAGATGATAAAAAGGATGTTAATTTAACAGCTCAAGATTTTGAATCAATTTATGAACAATTTTATGAATCCGAAGTTAGAATTCGCGAACAAGCATCTTTATGGGGTATGAAATTTACTTCATTATCAGAATTGAATAGTTTAGGTGGACCATTTTCGGGAATGTTTTATAGCGAGGTAAATAAATAAATATTAAATCATCTTCAAATAATTCAATCATCGATATTTCTAACTAGAAGAATATTTCATTAATCGAAATCTTTCTTTCTTTCTTTCTTTCTTTCTTTTAGGAACATAGTTTCATAGTGGCAGTATTCAAAGGAACCACACCTACAAATTTTGAAGATTTCATAGTAGATTTAATGTTACAACGGGTTGATGCCAGAAGTTTTGTATTTGGAGAAGTACATGAAGGATTTTATTCCAGTCTTTTCCCTCAAGCCGAAAAATCCAGTGCCAGAGCAAATAGTGCAAGTCCTTACCTTACAATTATTCGTGCAATTAGAGCTAAAGCTGCAGATATTTTAAATTATCAAGCAACTAAAAATAAAAATGGTGTACCAAAAAGGAAGATTAATGTTTGGGTTACTGGACATTCTCTTGGTGCTGCTTTGGCTAGTTTATTCTTTGCTAGTAAGTTTTTTTTTTTTTTTAAAAAAAAATATATATTAATATTGTTATATCTTTATTTAGTTCGATATATTATTAGTATTATTATTTGATATATTATTAATTACTTTAATATTATTTAATATTATTTAAATATTATTTTAATTTTAATATTATTTTAATATTATTTTAATAGGATGCTTAAAATCACCTGAAGACTTGGGACCAAATTGTATTTTAAGAGATGGTTACGTATTTGGTAGTCCAGCACTTGGGGATAATGATTTCGCGGCAGAATTTGCAAGTCATTCTAATTCACCATTTAATCAACAAAGTATACTTTGGAGAGTAATTGATGATACCGATATTATTACTCGTATGCATGGATTTGAAGATTCATCAATTCGTCGAGTAATTAATAAACGTAGTTTATTAAATTTTGTACATGTGGGAGAAGGGATAAGATTCTTTCAAGATGGTAAAAGACCCGAAAGTTCCAAAAAAATATTTTCATCAGGTAAAGAACCTGTTATAATTGAAAGATTTGATATTGAAGAAGGAGAAGAAGAAAAAATTTTGAATAAAGAAATAGAAATGATGAGATCAGTAGCTAGTAAAATTGATCATGCTAAAAATATATTTTTGGATAAACCATTTGAACATATGGAAGGTAGTCCTTTAATATATATAGAAAAACTTTTACCCGTTTTCTTTAGAAATCATTTACCAGCTAGATATTTCGAAGCAATGCAAAAGGCTCGAAAATATTTTGACGGACAAAATGAAATTAGAATTAAAGAAAATAAAGATCCTGTTGTTGTTGATACTGATGATAGTAATAGCTCTAATTTTTAAAAAATAATTTTTTATTCTCAATATTTTTAAAATAATTTTTATCTGTATATTAATACAATAACATAATCACATGATAAGAACATTTTAATAAATATTATACATTTTTATTACAATTTACAATCAGTGTGATAAAAAAGCATTACATATAACGTACATATAAATAATTTATATTAGTCCTCATCCTTGGGTGAGATAAAATATTACTTCTCGAGTAATATTACTTTCATGTGAAAAATTGTATGCAATGTGACAATTATGAGGATATTATGGATGAGGAATAACTTTCTCTATATTATAAAAATTATACTTTTTTTTATTATCTTTTTTTTTTTTTATTATTATTATTATCACACCATTTCTTTTCTTTCTTTCTTCTCTTTCTACCGAAAACTAAATCTTTTTTATATATGACATTTTTGTTATTAATTAATAATTGATAATGATCAAGAGTAATCATCATAAATATCATCATAACCATTATAATTATTGTCACTATCATTACCATTATTATTATTATTATTATTATTATTATTATTATTATTATTATTATTATGACGATGATCATTATTATTATAGTTATTATAATCATTTTTGTTATTATTATAATAATAATAATTATTATTATCATAATTATTGTTATTTCTAATATAACCATCACTTCTACTTCCATTACTTCCATTACTTCCATTTCTACTTATTTTTACATTATTCAACTGTTGATATTGTTGATATTGTTGATATTGTTGATTATTAGGTAAAGGTTGTAAAGGAATATTATTTCGATTACTATTATTACTATTTAAAGATTTCTGTGATGGTCGATTCTTTAATTGTTGTTGTTTTTGTTGATGGTAATGATGATGATGATTATTATTATTATTATTATTATTATGTATTGGTTGTTGCTGAATCGGTAGTGGTGGTGATGGTAATTGAGGAACATATTGAGGAGGAGGAGTTGGATGAGATCGATCAGCATATCGTGATAAAGTGGTTTGAGAATTTGAATGTTGAAGGTACAATTTGTTGTTATTCTTGTTACTGCTGCTGTGATGTAATTTATGATTAGGAGATACTATTCTGTTAAAAGGCACATTTTTATTGTTATTATTGTCATTATTATCGTTGTCTTCGTGATTATCATTAATAGATTCATTATCAGGTGATGCTATCGATGCGTTTTCTTCTTTAAGTGAAGTTTCAATCAAATTTTTTGTTTCCACATCAAATTTTATTTCCTTTAATTCTTTATATCCACAATATAATAAAACAATTCCCATAAACACCTAATATTAAATAATAATAAAAAAAATTAATAAAATTTAATTAAATAATATGAAAACAATTAATTAAAAAATAAAATAAATAATAATGAATAAATATTTATTTACCAGTACACCACCTTGAATATAAGCAGCAATAAAAGTAATTTTTTCATTATTTCGTAGTCTATTATTACATATTGCTTGTGAATTCTTTCTTTCTTTAATAGATAACGAACTTGAACATTTATCTAAAGCAAATTTATGATATTGATCGAATAATAATATATCGGTAACACTTAATCCAATCATTAATATTGAAGATATCCAATACTGAAACAAAAATCCCTTTATTAAATTCCTTTTACGCTAAAAGGAAGAAAAGAAATATTATCATTATAAACATAATTATTATTATTATTATTTAAAATATTTAATAATAGAATTATTTACTTACATTAATTCCACCTAAAACTCCCGTTAATCCTATCGGTGAAAGTATTCCATACATAGAAGCAAATCCAGCATTTAAAACACCCGGAAAATGATAAGTTGCAACTTTAAAATTTTAAAATGAAATTCACGAATTAATAAATATTGAGATGTGAAAAAAAAAATAAAATAAAATAAAATAAGAAATAACGTACAATTAATTTGAAAGAATGTTAATAATGCAACAACTGCACAATAAACCTTTTTAAATCGAAATTCAAAAAAAAAAATTCAGTAAATATTTTAAATCAAAAAAAGAAAAAAAAACAATAATAATAAAAATACTAACAGAAATAAAACCTCCTATGCAACTAATTATTATACGATTAAACATTTTTTTTAAATATTTTACAACCTTTTTTTTTTTTTGTTATTTTTGTTATTTTGAAGTCATAAAAATATATTACCGGAGAATATCCTCAAATATTCCCAACTTTTCTATATATATATATTTATATATCTATCTATATATATAAATTATTATTTTTGACCAGCCAAAAAAAATAATCGAGTAGACGAAAGAAAGGGGAGAAAGAAAGAAAGAGAAAAAAAAAATAATATTCCTTGACAAAATCCTTGACAAAAGAAAAAAAAATTATTATTATAAAAATTTTGATAATTTTTGATGTGTGTATGCTTATAATTATGCAATGCAAGTTTTCAATGTAATTAATAAACAAAAAGAAAAAAAAAATAAACAACGACCCAAGTTATACTTAAAAAAACTAAATTTTTAATATAGACTATTATTATCATTATTATATTATTGTTATGTTATTATATTTATTATTATACGTCTAAAATGGAAGACCAAAATAGTTGGTTTTCATATACAAAAATATCCTCATATATATCCTCTTATATTCTCTTATACATTTTCTTATCTCTATCCTCTTATATCCTCTTATATTCTCTTATATCCTCTTTTCCGAGTTGTTATTTTGAAAACCAATTATTAAAAATGGTTTACCATTTAATTAGCATTTAGTAATCAATTCCAATTATCCAACTAATCCAACTAAAATTATTTACCCCGTAAAGTTTGGAGTTTGGAATAATGTAGGTCTTTTTTTTTTTTTTTTCTTTTTTTTTTTTCTTTTTTATTTCGAAATTTAGTTAAATCCGTAATTTTGTAATTTAAATTAAAACAATTTTTGATACGTTTTAGATAACTAAATTTGGAAATAATGAAGATAATGGTAAATTTTTTTTTGTACCTATTATTTTTTTTATTTCTCACATTTCTCACATTTCTCGCATTTCTCACGTTTCCCACATTTCCTTGAAACAAAAAGTGCATATATTGATAATATTATGTAATAATAAGAAATAATAATATGCACATGCCTTGAGGAAATCTCTAAGAAAAGAATCAATAGCTTTTTTTGGATTTAGAAGAAGAATCAACTCAACTAGAATAAATGAGAATAAGCTAGAATAAACGGTTAAAAATCAACTGTTACATTTTAATTAAATGTATTATTATCATTATTTATTAATTATCTAGATTTATTATCTTTTTTTTTTCTTTCCTTACAACAATATCTTGTCTGTTTATATTATAAGTTTAAGAAATTTCGTAATTAAAAAGAAATTGAGATATTTTTGGAGAATATTAATCCAATTATAGTTAAATTGTCAATAAAATTTTTTTTAATATTATTTAGAAAAAAAATCATTGTAAATTAAAAAAAACTTATGATGAGGGGGCTAAAAGTCTGTGCACATGTGTAGCTTTAGTGTTCACGATTAATGTATATCAGATATGATCCTCAAAGAAATATTTATGTTTGTGAAAGAAATAGTTTCTTTAAAGTTAATTTCATTGATCTACAGTATACGACTAACTCATTTTGGGTTGTGGCTTTTCTTTTGTTTTATCTTTCAAATCTGCAAATAATCGAGTTCCCTTTCTTTTAATAAAAAAGTTCGAATCTACAAGTCATGAGATTAGTTCGATTACATATCTCGTTCGTAATGTCGTTGTTAGCAATGTTAGTAAATATGTGCAAGTAACGTTTTGTAATGTTTGCAATGTTTGTCATGTTTGTAATATTAGTAAAGTTAGTAAGGAATTTCATTACGGAATTGTTTCATAATCTGCAATTAGCATCAAGAACAGGAAAATTTTTTTAATACGTAAAAAATATATACAAATTTGTAGAAAATTATCTTTAATATTCTTTAAACGATATAAAGAAAAAAAATAATATCCTTTACGCGGATAGATTCGAAATTTGTTAGTCGTGCGACTTACATATCAATACATTGGTAAATGTTGTTACAAAATAATTTCGTTATCAACACAAAATTGGTCAATTGATAAAGACATTTGATTAAGTAAGTATTCTTTATTATTCTTTATTATCTATTCTTTAATTAAGCCAAATAATTGTTTAATGTTCGTAATGTTTAAAATAAGGAAATTCAATTAAATTCGATAAGGATATTGATTAAGCAAGTAAGGAGTTTTGTAATTATTATTATTTATTCTTTATTATTTCTTTAAAATTTTTTAATTGGTGATGGTGGAAAAAATTGATGATGACATTAAATGATGCAATTGTTGACAAAACAAAAAAAATCATAAATAATCTATAATTAATAAAAAAATTCCGCTAAACTAAAAATGCGGAATAATGTCTCGTTCGTGAAGATTATATTAAAAAATTTCACAAAAAAAAAAAAAATTAATAGCCGCTAAACTAATAATAATACGGAATAATGCAAATAATGTAAATAGTGAAAAATTTAAAAGTATATTGTTATAAACCCACCCCCCCCCCATGATTAATATTCTTAATAACCGTTAAATTAATTATGCGGAATAATGCAAATTAATGAGAATGTAGAAAATTCAAAGGTATATTAAAAAAAAAAACTCCTGTACAAAAAAAATGCCTATATACATGTATATATATATATTACTACGAATAAAGTTATTTAATAAATCATATTATTCACAAAGTTCTGCCAAATTATATTCAGATTTGTTTTTTAAAAATTGCCAAATTTTAAAAATAAATAAAAAATTAACACGAAAAAATGATCTTGTCAAATTTGTTCGTATCGTAAAATCATAAGAAGGTAAGGAAAAACGAAAAAAAAATAAAATAAAATAAAGGGAAACGAGAATATTGTAAATTGAACGAAAATATATATATATATATATATATATATATACGAAAAAAAAATATTATAAATGTGATCGAAAAGATATACGAAAAAATATTAGAAATTTCTTAAAAAAAAAACTTAGTTTCGAAGTGGAGTAGTTGAAGCAGAATAATTCGAATAATCCAAAATCCCTAATTCATCTTGTCCCTCCTGTCCAGAAACATTTTGTATATTGTTATTCTCATCATTTTTATTATCTATTAAAGATAAAATAAATCCACATTCTTCATCTGAAATGTTGGTGATTAAATCATTGGTAATGACAGTGGTGGGAAATGCGGGTAATGAATTATCATAATTGTCATTTTTGGGAGCTGTCCCAGTAAAGACGGGTGTATAAGTTGGTGAAGTTGATGGTGTCATATATGTAATTGAATTATTATTATTATTAGTTGTATTTATTGTCTTTACCAATTCCCGAGAGATCGGATTTACTGGACTAACTGATGAAATAACCGGGCTAGCTGAAATGACTGGACTGACAGGATTGATCGTATTAACCGAGTTGATCGCATTGACCAAGTTGACCGAATTGACTGAATCAACTTGGGAGTTCCAATCATATGAGAATGGTTCTGTATTTGGACAAGAATTAGTGGTGGATGGATATACATAGTATACGGAGTTGGATGGATGCGAAGGTGGTGACGATGGTGATGACGATGGTGATGAAAAAGATGCTGATAATGTATTATTTATGTCATAGGATGGTGGCGATGTTGTCATGTCAAGAATTGGTGAGGAAGATGGTGAAACTGCTAATAGTGTATTATTAACGTCATAAAATGCGGAAACTTCCTTATTATCCATATTATTAATAGTCGAATAAGAGTTACCAGCAGCAACAACAGAATAAGACGAGGACGTTGAAGAAGAAGAAGAAGAAGAGGAGGAGGATTCTAAAGATATTGATGCATCCATTTTCCTTAATTTTTGGGGTCTTTCAATGGAAGAAGAAGACGACATCACAGGCGAAGGAGTACTCGCAGGCATTTCAACGACTCTATATTGAGCCCCCCCATTCTTTCTCTTCAACCCTTGTTTGGTTGGTTGAGGACTCGTAATCGGTTCGAAGCTCACAATATTCCACCTATCTTTTCTTTTTCTTCTTCCAGCTTTCGGATACATTTCGTTGCGTACTTTTAACGCTTCTTTAGCAACCCTCCTGTATTCGACCTTTACTTCTTCTTTTTCATTCTCCCATGATTGGGAAGCCATCGAAGATATAGTAGTCATTGGTAGGAAATGACCATTTTTTCTGGCTGTCTCGACGTATACCTTTCGATAAATAATAAATGCATTTGGCGCTCTTGCCGGAATTCTACCATCTGGTGATTTCTTTGAAATTAAGTCGACAAGATCGACGACTGGAGGAAATTGAAGTCTTATGGCGGGGGGTACAAAATCCTTGGATTTTGATTTTGTGATGGAAGAATCTACTACATTATTATCATCAATGTTATTATTATTAAAGGTGGAAGCTATATTAGAAATAGGAGCTATAGGGTCGATTTGATCATTCATATTTAAAGCGTTATTACTATTAGAAATATTTGTGGGCAAGAAAGAACTGTTTTCATATACGTTGTTCATTTCGAAAAAAAAATTTATTATAATACTTATTAAAAAAAAGATTATATGGTATCAGATTTGTTTCTTAAGAAAAATTATTATTTTTCGTAAACTAGAAAATTGTACTCTGATTACTTTATTTTGTAAACGTTAGAAACGTATGAGAAAAAAAACGTTGATGGGCATCTAGTCCTATTTATATTTTGCTTTAAATTAGTTATTTATTAACTGTATATATTAATATATTAAATATTGTATAATATTATATATTGTTTTTTTTTTTGTTTATTTTATATTTTTTTAAGATGATGAGTTGTACAAACTGCATCATGACATTAAACTATTAAGTGTTAACAAGATGGGACCCGAATTATTTCTCGAAAGTTTTGGAATGGATATGCGTTTGTGACCTAATTTTTATTTCATGTTGACCTAATTAGATTTCGAATGTATTTAAATACACATATTTTTCTAAAAGTATGAAATAATGCAATGTGATACAAATATTAAAAATAAGAAATACAATTTGATATTATATAATTTTATTGGCTAAAGTTTTTTCATGTGATTGATCATTTGTATTATTTTTATTGGCTAAATAATTCATATGACATTATGACACAATATAATACTGTGTAAATATAATTAGTAATTATTTTTTAAGTCGTATTCGAGAAAGAAAGATTATGTTCTTCTTCTGTTCCCTATATTTGTAAGAATTACTGCATCAATACTAACTTTATTTTTTAATATTACCAATTTGTATACGAAATATATGAAATTTACTATTAAAATTTTTAAAATTTTATTATGTATTTTTAATATTTCTTAAATGTTATTTTTAGATAATATTTGATGAATCTAAAATCTTTTGTATTTCTATTGTAACAAAAGGTTGTTATCGAGGAAGACTTGTAAATAAAAATAAAGGTCATAACATCAGAAAGAAATTCCATAAAAGATCATATTAAAAAGAACGATATTTTATTTTACCTTTTATTATTGTCGAGTGAGACTTGTAAATAAAAAATTGATCACGTCGTCGGAAAATAAGTTCCATAACTTCAATCATAAGTTAAAAGAACATACGAAAAGTGGGAGAGCAGAACATCCTTGCCTATTTGCGAATATTTCTTGCCATCATGCCATCATGATCTTGCCAATATAAATAAATTAAATAAATTCATTTAATTTAGAGTGAAATTTATATTATTTTTTTATTTAATTAGAACGATATTACATGATCATATCGATTTTTTTAAAAGAATTCCTTCCTTTATTTTTCTTTATTCTATCTTTCTAAATTATATGAATTATACGCCTTTTTTTTTTTACAAAAATCATAAGAACAAATGTTTTTTACTCACATTGTTACCGCACCTGCTGTATAACTGCATAAATTATCATTATGAATATTCTATTAACAAAGTAAAAAAAAAATAATAATAATTTTGAAAAACAAAATTTCGTATCAAAAAAAAAAAAAACTGGCATTTATATATTGCTTTCAAAGAATCTCTAAATTGAGATTTTATCATTCTTACAATTAATTCTCATTTTTTTTCTTTAAAAAATCCCCCTAATTCTTTAAATTTTTCTTTAAATGAATTCCAATTTAATTTTTTATTCAATTCTGATTTGCACCACGTTTTTTTTTTGATGATCAATACCCTTGAAAATAATTTCTTAAAAAAACCAAATGTTTTGTATAATTAAAGGTATAATCCCCCAGAAAATTGTGTAATTAATTTGTATCATACGGATTTTAATGCATGCAAACATGTCACTTCAATCGTCACAATGTTAATTTTGAAACGTTCCGTTGCATAAATGGTCATGAGAGAAGTATTATTAGTTTTGTGTGCGTGTTGACAGAAACATTTTTTTTTTTTCTGTTAAATTATTTATTTCAATGTTTATGGGTAATCTTCAAATCGTAAAATTAAAAATAACAATTTTCAATTTTCATACACAAAATATCTAATTATCGTAATTGTTAAAATTCCATAAAACAAATATCGGAAAATTTTATTAAGAAATTAGAACCTAATGTAGAACAACAATGTTTTTTTTTTTATGCAGGTATTAGTCACTTAAGTTATTTAATATTCTCTTTGTTGGAATCAGATGATCTTATCTAAATTATTCCTTTTTGTCAGGTGGATTTATCAATGTTATATTTAGCTACGTCCCATCGATAACGATATGTATCAAACTCATGTGCCATTATAGTACACTACATTAATAAACACAAAAAACACAAAAAACACAAACATATGTCCATTGCTTTTTATTTATTTAAAATAAAATCGTTCAAATCTCGATTATTGCTTATTTAAGTCTATATCGAAAATCTTTTAAAATTAAGCTTTTTACAAAAAAAGATTTGATAATCAAATTTTTATGACTTTTTTTTCTTTTTCTTTCTAATTTATTTAATTTATTTAATCCACCTGAAGATGGATTCAACATATTGAAAAATTACAAATTTAAGAAGACAAAAGCAGTTTTGGCGCACATCATATGAAAGTTATTTTGAACCTATTTTTTTTTTTATTCACGTTCTTGTTTTCAAAGAAAACAAATGTATACAAGATCACACTACAATTAAAATTTTCGTTATTTTGAACACAGTCTCAAATTACAAAATTTTATTACACCACAAATAATTTACAACATCTGAAACATGTGTAACTGCAGCTATTATTAATTAACTTCTCTTACACTAGAAAATCGAACAATGTTTATATGGTCCGGGAACTACATTGAAAAATAAACATCTTTTAATCATTATTAACCTTGTGATCAAACCAAGCCCCCTGGGTCCTTTGAATTTTTTTTTTTCAGTAATTTTTCAAATTCGGAAACAATATTTGAATACGGAAAATTTTTTACATTTCACAATTTTAGAATGAACAATGAGATTATAGTACCCGATTCAAACCATTAAAAGTTTTGGCCAAGATAAAAAAAGCGGCATGTGATTATTCATGTGATATCAATATATATATCAGATAATGCATATCTACAGATCATATCACTCTCGTGAACAAACAGCTTGTCCATTATTTCTCAATATATTAAAAAAGGAAAAAAGATTCCTGCATTCCTAGAATATTTTGAAAATTATTCGATTTATTTTAATTATCCAAGAAATCCAATTCCAATGATCCATGAAGAAGTTTCTCTAAGTAATTTTTGTAATCTTTGTAATCTTTAAATATTACATAATTAAATTATAATAAATTCAAATTTGGTTATTTATTAAATCATCACGTTACTCAATAAATTATGTATGACTTAATGATCATGTAAAGAATTGCCTATCATGGAATCAGCGAGAATTATCAATGACTTAATCCAGGATTTATTTTTGGCAGAAATTAGCCACGTTAATAAGAAAAAATAATTCCTTTATGTGCTATTTATAATTATCTATATTTTCGTGACAATAAAAGATAATAAAAAGAAATTTTGGTTAGAAACGCGTTGATAAACTTGATATGTGAACAATTTGAGGAGAGAAAATGTAACCTTTTATTGCAACTTAATACAATATGAACTCAAAAAAATTCACCTTTGACCGTCATAAATAGGAAATTCTTTGATCAAGCACAATGACACACTAGAATAGAGTTTTTCATCCTATTATATCATAAATACTACTCCTTCCCATTATCATTAATGCACTCTATCGATTCAATACTCTTTGCCAGATTATTTAATATTAAAAATTTAAATCATCATTGAAAAATCCAATCAGCTTGAAACTTTGGTATGAATATATTCGCTACGAAGTCTCAATATAGGATAATGAAACGATACCTGGGAAATTGATCTCTAGGTTTTATGGCAATTTCCAAATGACCAATTCATCCATAAAATTGGGTATATCAAATTTCATTTTTCTTTACGACTTTTATTTTTTTTTTTCCCCTTCTCTTGTAAAGTTTTAATCATCTCCTTTTCCGAGTATTTTTCAATATTTTCAGTAAATTTTCATCGACATACATTTTTCGATAATTTATTATTGAATTATAAAAAGGTTTCGATTGATCGGAAGAATTTTTTTAAAAAACCTTCTACCCAAAGATATAAAGAAATATATTCATTGAAAAAAAAAAAATATTCTAGTTCATAAATAAAGTTTAATAATAACTATTTAGAATTTTCTTTCCTATATTAATGTTTTAAAACCTTTTGATATTGTTTACTATATTATTTTTTTCCCATATTGGTTACAAATAACTATTTCGAATTTTCTTTCCTATATTAATGTTTTAAAGCCTTTTGATATTGTTTACTATATTATTTTTTTCCCATATTGGTTACATTTTTTTCTAATATTTATTTAAAAAATATTTTTATTTTTATTGCAAATGTCAATTTAAATTGAATTTTTTTGGGGGATATTCATGAAAAGTGCTAAATATAACTAACCAAATATTTGCTAGAGAGAGGTTAACACATTGTTACATTTAAGTCTAATTGACGGAACCGTTCCCTTTTTATCTGTTTACCCGCGAAACCAACTTCTTATAATTGTTATAAATACGTAACTTTATGTAATGATGATGTTTTTAGATAATTTAAGTTAATTTAAAATATGCTTTTGCTATACTCCTTATTCTGGACAATCATTTTTTTTTAAATTATCGTAGTACTAATAATTGTCATAATTACACTAAACTTTTTGTTAAATCATTTAAAAATGAATCATATTAATTTTTTTAATTATAAAAGATATTTGAGACGAGGAAATTATATATTTCAAACAAAAAATAAAATCGAGTATTAAAATTATGAATTAAGTTATGAAAAAAATAAATATGGAGGATTAATTTATGAATTCAATTAATAAATTTATGGATTTATGTTTGACAAAGTTTTGTTTATCAAGCGAAGAGAGATTAATTGAATAACTAACTTAAATTAGTGATTACTTAATAAATCGGAGATGTTTTTCTGATAGGGTTTAAATTCGATAATAGATTCCTTGTATTTTTACGATGATCTAAGAAAAAAAAATATAAAATAAAGTAATCCTTGTAGTAAAAAAATAATAATACAAACATTCCTGTCAAAAAATAAATATGGGGCATACATATTCAAAAAGAACTTATAGAGCTGACAAATGTAATAATAATAATAATAACTATTATGATAACAATTACAATGGACAATTATCAAAGAAATATTCACGTAAAGTTATTACATCATCTTTTTCGCATGTGGCCCCTCTTACTTTTTCCAATGACGATTGTAATATAAATAATAATAAAAATAATGTATATGATTTAAAGAATTCATCCTGTAATCAAACCACTCAACTTCACCCACCCTTTACTACTCCACCCTTAACTCCACCTTTAACTTTTCCTCGATCTTGCTTAAAAAAAAGATTCTCTAAAAATCCTTCATTTTTGTTTAGTTCAAATTTAATTAATTCAACAAATAATAATAATAATTATACAAAAATTAATAATGATTCAACAAAAAATAATAATAATTATTTAACAAAAAATAATAATAATGATTTAACAAAAAATAATAATAATGATTTAACAAAAAATAATAATAATGATTTTAAAAAAAACAATAATGATTTAAAAAAAAAAAATAATGATTTAAAAAAAAATAATAATTCAACAAATAATAAGTCAACGAATAATAATTGGTATTCGACAATAACTTCCCCTCCACTATTTTATTTAATTCCTAAAAAATTTAATGTTATCGAAGATTTTTCATCTCTAAAATATTTAAATTTCCCAAATATTCCAAATATTCCAAATATTCATACATCAAGGAAATCTTTTAGTCATGAATTTAATGCTCAATATTTATTTCCTAACAATGATGACGAAGTTGATAGATTACATTCTCAACATTTCTTGGGTCATCATATATGGGGAAATAATTTTTCTGCTCCTATTGAAGAAGTACTTAAAGTTGAGGGATCGCGTGCTTTAGAAATTGGGTAAGGAAAAAATAATCCATATAAGAAATATAATTTAAAAAATAATTTAAAAAAACATAATTTAGTAAATTTTTTATTATATAGTTGTGGACCAGGAACATTTATTTTTGAAATGTCATATCAATTTGAAAAGGCCAAATTTACTGGTATAGATAAAATGCCAATGTTCCCCGTTGAAATCAAACCTCAGAATTCACATTTCGTAGTATGCGACTTATTAAACAAATTACCATTTGAAGATTCCACATTTGATTACGTGTGTATAAGGTTAATAGGACTTAGATTATTATTTACCCAAGAAGATTGGGAAAATAAAATAATTAAAGAATTGATTCGAATTACCAAACCAGGAGGATGGGTGGAATTTACGATAAAAGATTTAAATTGGTATAATGAAGGACCGAGGACAAGTTATTTTAGAAATTTTGGTAAGTAAATAAATGATCATTTTGCGTTTGTATTTTTTTTTTTTTTTTATCATCCAAGTAAAGTCTAATTAATAAATTTATAAAAAATATAGCCACGGAACTTTTATCTAAAATTCATAATTTGGAAATTCCTCAAATTACCAAATTTCTTGATAAAACAAATCAATTCACATCCGTACAAATGGATGAAAAAATTGTTCCTATAGGTTCATGGGGCGGAAGTTGTGGCAAAATTCATCTCGACTTAATAAAATGGGAAATGAAAAATTTGAGACCATATATTGAATTTGCCTTAGAATTAGAATGTAAAGGTGAGACTTATGAAAATTTAAATGAAAAATTTTTAGAAGAAGTTGAAGAGGAAGGAAGAAAGATGTATACGAGATGTCTGAGATATTGGGCAATGAAAAAGTTTCCAAATTAGTAAATTAATATAATTTTGTAATATTTTATTATTATTTTTATTTTTATTTATTTTTTTTTTTTGATATATAATATATAATATAATATAATATAATAATATAATATAATACAATAATATAATATAATATAATATAATAATATAATAAATATAATAAATATAGATATAGATTGTAATATAAATTAATATCATGTGATTAATTTGACTATTTTGATTTCCTCCCCGAAGTAGCTTTAATTTTCTTTTTCTTTTCAGCTTTAGGCATTTTATGCTTTCTTTTCTCCCTTGCTTCTTCTTTGGCTAACTTTTTTCGTTCCTACAATGAATATAAATATTATATATGAATATAAATAGTAATCATATAATCAGATATAAAATTGAAACAGTACGAAAAATATGAACCTTCTTAACGTCCTTGTCTTCATTCCTCTTTCCCCGTGATTGCTTTTCAAATAGATCGTTTACATTCTCATCATTTGAATCTTGCTCAATTTGATTATCTTCTAATTCCTTTTCATCTTGTTCTTTTAATATATACTTTTCAGATTGGAATTCTTGATCTTCTTCATCCTCATGATCTTCATCATCTCCGTGATCTTCGTGATCTCCGTGATCTTCACTTTCTGACTTGTCATCTATCGAAAGACCTGTGAGTTTTCTGTAAATTAACTAAAAAATAATATAATATATAGAATTAAAAAATATAAAATTATAAAGGATTTGCTAAAAAAGTATGTCTTAAATGACGATGCATACATTTTCACCTTCACCTTGTGCAACCTTTATAGTATCTCGTTCAGCGTCTATAACTTCACCCAATGTTCTTGGAATATAAGACTGTTTAAAAACTTCTTCATCAACTTTTTCTTTTTGTAATTGTTCTTCATTTAAAGTTTCCATTGATTGCTGTGAAGCCAAACGTTCTTGAATCTTTTTTTTTTAAAAAAAAAAAAGACAGACAAGCAAAATAAAATAAAATATCTGATAAAATTATAATAAAAAATGCAAATAATAATATTAAAAATATGAACCTTATCTAATTCAGCTTCAACTTTTTCATCTTCCATACCAATATTAACATCAGTGATAAAATCAAATAATTCTCTAACACTCATTATTCTCACACCTTTCTTTTTGAAATATTCAGTAATGTTTGTACAATCATTTCTCAAAAATTCTAGAGCGTGAGGATGATCATGTTCTACTGATTGTGATACATCGATTATATATAAAGTACGCGCATTATATCTAAAAAAAAATTTTTTTATAAAATTTATTAACTATTTTTTAACGAGACGAAAATAATAAAATAATGATGAAAATACTAATGAAAATGAAAATAATGATAAAATAATGATGAAATTGAAATAAAGTTAATAATGAAAAACATTACTCACAAAAGATTATATTCACTTAAATCCGCGTGAACCAAACGACAAGTGTGATACATTGTTCTCATATTCTTTATGATTTGATAATACAATTCTGGGTATTTATCAGAATTAATAACTGCATCTTTTAATCGAGGAAATGCCCTAAATTATAAATAAATTATAAATAAATTAAATTATAAATAAATAACAATATAATAAATAAATATATTAATAAATCAATAAATAGATTACAATATAATAATAAATCTTTTTAAATAAATCTTTTTAGAATTACCATCCATTCTTATCACCTAAGAAACTCATTACCAACACATGTAATCTTAATACTAGAGGTTCCGGACAAGGTATTCCAGCTTGCCATAATCTTTTCAAATTTCTCATTTCTTTTTCAGCCCATAATTTTACCATTTTACGTGGATTATGTTTGCTATACCCATGTCTAAATCGAAATTCTCCGGTAACATATCGATCACGATCTTTAAATATAAGAATTGAAGTTTTATAAACTTTTATGGCTCGACTAGTTCCGTCTTCGGTAACTGCGTGATATACATTAGCCTATTGAGTTGAGTTGATAATAAAAGAAATAAATGATTGAATAATTAAATAAATAATTGAAATTTAATAATTGAATTAATACCTCTTTACCAGTACTAATACATCCGTTTATCTCATAAATTATATTACGATTAATCATTTTAAATAAAATAATTCTTGTACGTGGATCTAATACTTGTTCTGTAGTAGCCCGATCTGATTTATCACTATATTTTTGTCTATTAATTTATAAAAATTTATAAACATAAAAATTATTATACACATAATATAAATTTGAATATAAAATATAAAACTTACTTGTCTCCTTGAGCTTTCTTATTACTCATTTTAATATCATTTGATACAGATGTTGATATTTTTTTCAGGGATAAATCATCTATTATAATTAATTAATAATCCAAAATTTTTTATCAGTAAATTATGAATTAAAAATTTAAACAATAAATAATACTAACCCTAAGAATATCCTAAAAATATATGTATTTTAGAGAGAGAGAGATCATTTACCAAGATGAATTCTATTAGCATATTTGTTCAATGATTTCATCTTATCTTCTTGTTGTAAAGAAAATTGTGATCTCTTACTTGTCTTCTTTGTATTGTTTAAAGTAATTGAACTTTTTTGAACAATATTTGTTGCGGTTTTCGATTCAAATGAATTTAATTGTAATTGTTGTTTTAGGCGGTTATATTGTTTAGTGAAATCTTTATAAATTTATATTAAATAATGAATAAATTTTTTAATATATATAAAATATTGTGAATAATTGAATATTTAATTTTTAATAATAAATTACCTCTGCTGGCATCATCCCATTCTTCATTATAATTCAATTCATCTTCAAGATAATCATCAAAATCATCATCATCCTCTTCTTCGAATTCTTTATTTTTTAGAATTTCGGTTGTGTTCTTTATAATATTTGATGTAAATCCTTCATTATCATTATCATCAGGTGCATCATCAAATTGACCTGCTTCATATTTTGGAACATATTTAATATATCTGTCAGTCATCATTTTATTCTAAATTTTTTAAAAAAATTTTGAGATCAAATTTGGGTCACTTTAAATATTTTTTTTTTTTGCAAAAATTTATCAATCACATGATTAATAATGAAATTCATACATAAATGGCATGATTGACATTTTATTAGTTTTAATAGAATTCACAATTATACATTTTGCGTAATCATAATATTATCTTCTAACTCGCGAAATTTATTATATAAAACAATAGTAGTAAATGATATCTCGCATATTAACTATTAGTCTCGAAAAAAAAAAAATTCATAGAAATATTGAATAACAAAATTTGCTAATTTTGCTGCGTGAAAATTTATGCACGGCCAACATCAACAAATTCGCGATTCAAGTCACGAGATTTGTCTAAAGGCATTGTTGTAATTCCCACTGAATAAAATGAAAATAAAATATTATCATCAATTTAATAAAATAAGTTAAAATGATTTCAAGCAATAATAAGATTTATACGTACCAATAGTTTCTGCTGGTGGCTATTATAATAATATCCGAAAAAAAAAAAATCAGTTATTCAGAAAAACATAATAATTTATGAATAATTTATAAATATAATTTAAAATTACCTTATCAGGAGCGCTAGGATGAGGGCTTTTATAAATGAAATAAAAACAAATGATAATAAATAAAAACAAATGATAATAAATAATAATTCTTTAATATTTAACATCGTGCAGTATAAAATATTTATATATTTACCGAGTAGGAACAGTCTTACGAGTAGTGGCAAACTTTTCACCAAGTTCATTAAGAAGGTCAGTAGAAATGGATTCTTTGAATTTAGGATAAATGTCATTTTCTTCCTCTTCGACATGTTTTTCGAATTCCTATTTTAAAAATAAATAAATAAAGGATAGTAATAAATAATAAAACCAAATACAGTATTATATATAATTGTATAAAATTACCTTCATAACTTTATCAAAGAGATTTTTATACCCACTATCAACAACATTCATTCCATCTAATTTCGCGAGATCATTCTTGATTTGAAGATGTTCTTCACGATTATGATCAGCTACTTCTTTTCCGTTAGGAAGATGATTTTCAAGCAAGGGATAAACATGGATTTCTTCACAATGTGAATGAATTGCAACTGTTATAAAAGCAAGTTATAATAACATATAAATTATCTTGATTTGGGTATTGAGATTGTCAAAAAAATATATATTTATATTTATATATAAAATTTACTTTCGCGAATTATAGTATTAGCAATTTTCTGACTTTCACGATTATTTGTTTCTCCTTCAAAGCGTTGCCAAAGATTCTTGATGATCTTGTGGTCTTCGATAATTTCTGAGATTACGTCTTTAGCCATTTTTTTTTAATAAAATTTTTTGAAGCGAGAAAACCGATGTGTTATATACAAATAATTTATAATTATGTCATCATTTGATAATGAATTTTTTTCTTTACGAATTTAATTATTGCTCAATATTGCATCATAATTTCGTTTCCTTCATATGAAAATTTTTTAAAATATTTACTAACTATTTTTCGCTTTACTTATTAAACTTTTATATTTATAATATTTCTTAATGTCTGCTGACCGTGTGCAAAGGCTTACATAGTGGAAAATAAAGATTCGAAATGCTAAATATGTTTTTTTTGTAGGTTATTCAGACAATTTTTTCTTTTTGTAAAAATACATATAGTTTTGCTATTAAAAGCAAAAAGATTTTAAAAACATCAGGAATATTTTTAAGACAATATGCAATATATTCCAGAATACATTGCCTTATAAATATTCCCCAATAATCTACAATATTGTATAGAATCTGTGAAGTTAGCAACAGAAATGAAAATTTAAAAGTAAATTTTTTTTAACATTTACATTATATATGAAAATCAAAAAGTTAGTTAAACCTTATACAGATAAAGAATTCTAATACTAATACAAAAGCAAGACTTATGTATTTGGAATAAAATAGACAAGAGTTAGAAAAAGAATGTGGAAGGAAATATCAATCGTTTTCTCAAACCATTTAACAAAGTAATGGAAATGCATCAGATAGTTTTAATAATATAATGTAGTAATAAATTATTTTTATCCGAAAAATAATTGTTGCAAGAAATTCTTGGCAATGCAAATTGAATTCACATAATTAATGAGAGAATTGTTTAATTTTTATTTGATCCAACTTTAATGATCAACGAAAAACGTGACCTAGAACCATATGAGCGCATTTTTGGAATTAAAAAATAATAGGTTACACAAATCCCACCTTTGTTTATTAATTAAAGTTTCTTCTTTAGCATTAAACTAAACAAAAATAACAAAAAATGGAATAAAACAACAATATTGAGTATTAGAAGGAAGAAATAAAATAAGTTGTCAAAGATTGAGCAGTGGATCAATTGGGACAATTGGTTAGACAGTTATTTATTTATTTGTTTAAACGGACGAAGTACCTTATCTTATTTAATAAAGTCTTATAAAATAATATGAGTACATGTAAAATATTGTGTTGAATACTTTTACTTAGAGGTCAAAAGGTACTTAATACAAGGACCTGAATAATCATAATTAGATTCCAAAAATGCGCCGTAAAAAAAGGATCTTTGTTTTTGAATCGGAACATGGAAGTGTAACAACTTTTTTAATATTTGAACAAAATGAATTCCTACCAAATTAAGAAATTACTTTTCTATTATTTGATAACAATCGACTGTAAATTACTTGACACTAAATTAGCAATAATGCATGTAAATCTGTTTACATTATGACATGTTAATAGTTCCATTCTTATTTTTATAGTATATTATTTATTATTTATTATTAGTTATTCTTATATATTTTATTCAAAGTATAAATAAGTCAGTAATTTTCTTTATAAAAATATGAATAATTTAAATTTAAAAAATTTAAATGACTAAATGAATCGGATTAAATTTAATAATATTAATGACCCATTACTTCAGTCTCCATCTCAAAATCCAAATCCCGTTACAAAAATTAATGATATTTTAAATTATGTAAATAACTTGCAAGATCTTGAATTAATTCTCAATCCACCTTATCAACCCACACTTAGTCTTGACTCTACTTTTACCAGCTTGTAGAAATCATAGAAATAGTAAAAATAAAATTAATAAGATTCCTAGACCACAAAATGCTTGGGTCTTATTTAGAAAAGATTATGAAGCAAATAAACGAATTCAATTTCCAGATCAATTATTTAAAATGAAGACAATCTCTATCAGTGCTGGTGATGAATGGAAAATTCAATCATTTCAAGTCAAGAGATATTTTGAAATTCTTTCTAAATTGGCTCTCGAAAAACATAAAATTATGTATCCAGATTATAAATATACTCCCAAAAGAAGATCGAACAGTAATAAAGATTTGGTTTTTCATAAAACTTTAGTTCTAGGCGAAGACAATCAAATCAACAAAATTAATCATGATAACTCTTACGAGTTTTCCACTACTACTATTACACCTATTGCATCACAAAATACTTTTACTGAATTCAACAATGAATCTTCGCATCAACCCGAACTATATTATAACGGTAAAGATCCTCATTTATTTATGCCACACGCGTCGATATTCACGATAATAGTAATAGCAACGACGATATTAATTATATTAACAATAATAATAATTACAATATTGAAACGCCTTTTATGAGTACATTCTTTTCTTTCAAGGAATTTAATAATATCGATATGAATTCATATAATGAGATATTTCTTCTATGAATTCTATGAATTCTTTAAATTATTCGGAATCCATGACCGTAACACCTACTTTGCCTGAATATAGTAATAATACTGTTGATACCATCGAATGTTTCCCAAACCAATTTTGAAATCTTCTTTGTTATTTTATTTTTTATAACTTTTTGGCGGTTTAAGAGATTTTATTATTTAGTATTATTTATTATTCATTATTATTTATATCATTTATATTTATTATTTTTTTATGATTACATCATTTTCTTTATTTTTATTTTGTCTTTTCTTTCTTTATTCACCATCTTCCTATTCTTTACATTCAATGCTATGATGATAATCATGAGTTTCTTCTAAACTCACTTAAAGAATAGATTTAAGATAAAATAATCAAGCATTTTTATTTATAATAACAAGGATAAGGCACAATTAAGAAATGGATGTAAAAGTTATATAAAAGTGAAGATAACAAATAGAAAATAAAAGTAAAAACGTTTAAAATCAAAATTTTATCAATTTTATCAACTGATTTTTTTCATATTTTTTTGTAATGTGTAAGTTCTAAAGTTCTTCAGACTATTTTACCTGGAATAATTTTCATATGAAATCGGATCTGCGAGGATACAACAAATAAAATGAGACATTTCTACTTTATTTAATGTGAACCCACTTTTTCTACAGATAAATGCATTAAATATATAAGGCTATAAAGCTATATATACGCATGGAAATAAACCTAAAAGATTTTTTTTGTGCATAATAGTTCAAATAACCAAAACTGTGTAAAAATTGTCTAAAAAGCAGTCAAAAAATGGTTGAAATAATTACAAATTCATCAAACACGATCACAACTATTAAAGGAAAATAAAACTTCATTACCTCAAAAAAAAAAAAAATAATATAAACACTTAAATTGTATTCTGTGTCTTTATATAATATAACATAGATATTAATTAAAACTTATGTTGTTTTTTGCTTTTAAAGCATTCAAACTTTTAGAACAGAGAGGTAAAATACAATCTTCTAGAATTCCCTTAGGACACTGATCTTATAATATCAAATTCATGTTCAGAAATCATGTCACTACCACCGCTATCATCACCACCATCACCAAATCTATGTCAGAGTCTCAAGCTTTAAATATAATATCTCCTCTTAGAGTTCAACCACTGCCTTATTTTAAACATTGGAAATATCAAAAGATCCAGATTGTGTTTTTCCTACTGGAGTGATCAAGTTGCAGAATGGTCAAAGAAATTGTGGTTGTTCACAAAGGCAGGTTCTGTCAGTTCACCTTTGATTTCCTCAAGTTTACCCTCAAGTCTATATCCCAAGTCCATTTTCAAGTTCAATGGTAAAAAGGACACGGGTTCTCTCTAAAGAAAATTTGAAAAACAAATGAAAACTATTTCAAGATAACTTATCCATTAATACAATCTTTATCTGCTGAAAACATTCTTCCAAATAAATATTTTATTTTTTTTTATAAATTTTATCTTTTTTTTAAAAACTAATATGACTATAGATCTTTGATTTACCTAGTTTCAAAATTGCATGCTAATATATAAATTACAATAAATTATTATTTATGTGCTATAATTTTATTTTTGTAATGAGTAATTAAGTAAAAATATTATTGTACAAAATATTAATTCTAATAAAAAAATTTAATATAATCTATTTTTATTGATACATGATTAATATATAATTGTTGAAGTTATGCGAGGTAATATATATCTATAATTTTGTGTTAAGTTAATATTTATAGTAAATATTTTCCAGAATCAGCTACGTATAATCTGAAAAGTTTGCTTATTTTCATTTAATTTTAATAAAATAATATATTATTAATATTTTAATAAATATTATCATAATTAAAAAAATAAAAACAGCTAAAATTGACACTATATATTTCTTCACAATTGATTAATAAAACATAACCCTTTGCTTTTGTTGTAGGATTTTTCTGGAAACTCCAGTATTCATAGTTTATTATCTGAATTGACAAGAATATTTTGACTATATTTAAATGTTGGCTCATATTTGAATAAATGAATAAAAATATTTTCTGGAAAAGCATCAATAATAGAATCATTTGGAACCAATCAAAGCCAAGTCACTTTTTAATAAGTATTATATGGTAAAAACAAGATTATTAAGAGAAGGTAAAAAAAGGAGGCTCAAAAAGGGCATTTTATAGTTTATGTCTTCATTTTTTTTTATTGATAATATTTCGACCAATTATAATTTATACAAAAAAAAAGAAGCTATTTTGCCTTTTAAAAAAAACTATAACACCATATATATACAGTATATTTATATGTAACGCAGGGTTCAAATAAAAATTTAATTATTGGTAGCATAATATATACAGTAGATATTACTAAATTTGGTAGGATTCCTTTTGTCTATGTACGTTTTACTAAAGATTTTCCATATTAGACTTAGTCTATGCACGTTTCCCTTCAGATTTATAAATGATGAATTTTTATAAATATGACTAATTTTAAAAATTTAAATGAAACATAAAATGAATCTGAATAATTTTAATACTATTAATCAAAGTCCAAATCCCGTTACAAAAATTAATGATATTTTAAATTATGTAAATAACTTGCAAGATCTTGAATTAATTCTCAACCCACCTTATCAACTCACACTTAGTCTTGACTCTTTACTTTTACCAGCTCGTATAAATCACAGAAATCGTAAAAATAAAATTAATAAGATTCCTAGACCACAAAATGCTTGGATCTTATTTAGAAAAGATTATGAAGCAAATAAACGGATTAAATTTCCAGATCAATTATTTAAAATGAAGACGATCTCTATCAATGCTGGTGATGAATGGAAAATTCAATCATCTCAAGTCAAGAGATATTTTGAAATTCTTTCTAAATTGGCTCTCGAAAAACATAAAATTATATATCCAGATTATAAATATACTCCCAAAAGAAGATCGAACAGTAATAAAGATTTGGTTTTTCATAAAACTTTAGTTCTAGGCGAAGACAATCAAATCAACAAAATTAATCAAGATGATGATTATTACGAGTTTTCCACTACTAATACTTCATCTATTACATCACAAAATACTTTTACTGAATTTAATAATGAATTTTTTGAAGTCGACACTTCACATCAACCCGAACATTATAACAATTCTAACGGTCATTTGTTTAAGCCACACGCGTCTATCAATATTAGCGATATTCACGATGATAGCAACATTAACATTAACGACAATAATATTAATTATAATGATAATATTAACGAAAACATTAATAATATTAATTACAATACCGAAACTCCTTTTATGAACACATTCATTTCCGAATCTTTCACAGAATTTAATAATTCATATAATTTAGTTCTAGGCGAAGACAATCAAATCAACAAAATTAATCAAGACGATAATTATTACGAGTTTTCCACTACTACTACTTCACCTATTGCATCACAAAATTTTACTGAATTAAATAATGAATTTTCTGAAATCGACACTTCACATCAACCCGAACATTATAACGGTCGTAACGATCATCATTTGTTTATGCCACACACGTCTATCAATATTAACGATATTCACGATAATAGTAACGATATTAACATTAACGACAATAATATTAACGAAAATATTAATTATAATGATAATAATATTAATTACAATATTGAAACGCCTTTTATAAACACATTCATTTCCGAATCTTCTTTGACAGAATTTAATAATATCGATATGAATTCATATAATTTAGTTCTAGGCGAAGACAATCAAATCAACAAAGATGATAATTATTACGAGTTTTCCTCTACTACTGCTTCACCTATTGCATCACAAAATTTACTGAATTCAATGAATTTTCTGAAATCGGCACCCAAACATTATAACGGTCGTAACGATCATCATTTGTTTATGCCACACGCGTCTATCAATATTAACGATATTCACGATAATAGTAACGATATTAACGATTATATTGGTAACGATATTAACATTAACGACAATAATATTAACGAAAATACTAATTATAATGATAATAGTATTAACGAAAATATTATTAATATTATTAATTACAACATTGAAACGCCTTTATAAACACATTCATTTCCGAATCTTCATTCACAGAATTTAATAATATCAATATGAATTCGTATAATGAGATATCTTCTATGATATATGTAGATACCATCACTGCTACCAATGTTTCCCAAATTATCAACTTATTTGAAATCTATTTTTTCATATTTTTATAACTTTTTTAGCGGATTAAGCGATTTTATTATTTAGAATTATTTATTATCCATTATTATTATATTTAAACTATTTATATTATTCATATTATTTATTCACTATTATTATTTTTTTATGATTACTTTCTTTATTATTCACCAACATCATTTTCGTTATTTTTATTTTGTTTTTTCTTTCTTTATTCATCATCTTTCCATCGTTTACATTCAATACTATGATAATCATGAATTTCTTCCAAACTGCATATGATAAAGTATAATGAGCACTTAAAGAATATTTAAGAGATAAAAATAAAATAATTATTCATAATAACAAGGACAAGGTGCTGTTATGAATAGGATTTAAACTAATGTAAAAGTGAAGATATCCACGAATAGAAAATAAAAGTAAAAACGTTTAAAAACTTTACAAATTATATATAATGATATGTTATCAATTTAAACGTGATTAGAAAAATAATAAATTTCAGCAAATTACATTCACATTCGATATCAATAGTTAATTATTTTCTTTTTTAATTTTTTTTCATATTTTTTTTGCATAAATTGTAAGTTCTAAAGTTCTTCAGACTGCTTGATATTTTACCCATGGTCTTGATATTAGATAATTTAGCCTGAATCACAGTAAGCGACCTATAATTAATTGGGCATAACGTAATATCGTGAGACATTTAATGCTGCACGATATATTTATTATTATTAAATGATTTAGAAAGTTATCTCAAAAACGACTGATTGAATTTTAATGATCTAGGTTGCTCTCACTGAGAGAATTGGATAGTGATGGTTTTATACCAGTTAGATCGATACTGATTCAATTTAAAAAAAAAATCTATTTTTTCATATCTTGCCATTCTACAAAAAATGATTTATATTGTTAGATTCCTTTAGGGATGAGATGGTCCTCTGGTCCGGACCTGGAGACCTGGTCTTTAGGGCTGGACCAACTGGTCCGTCCTTAGAAATTCAGGACCAGGCCTTATATATATAATATGATCATCTGATCAGATTACCCAATCAGATTATCCATGTCAGTTTATAATCAATATAATAAAAAATTTTATTAATAAGAAAATATATATTTAATTAATATAATTAATATGAAGACCAGGTCCTAAACTGGTCCTAAGACCAATCTTACGGGACCAGGTCTGGTCTGTCTTTGCCCTGGGACCAGATGGTCCAAAACCAGGACCAATCCCTAGATTCCTTTCATTATGATAGAGTTTTTTTTTATATATATTGACTGAGATGATGATTTATTTAATTTTTATAAACTTTATAGAATATTTTTACAAAATCACATTATAATACAGTTTCCAACCAAGGAAATCTGTAGTTGATGATTTGGACGAAACCTTGTCAATATATGCCATATTTTTTTTATCTTCTAATCTTATATATAAATCAATAGTCCTAAGCTTATTGCAAGTTTCACATAAAGTAAAAAATCTTTCTATATTTGATCTTTTAATTTCATCTTTTTGATTCTATATCTTCTAAACCCTTTAGCTCAAATCATTTAATCAAATATTTCATAAAAAAAGATTATTTGCTATGCATTCTCAGTATATAACTAAAATAATATTAATCTAACTTATCAAAATATTAAAATTTTAAGCAAATTAAATTATGACCTTTAATTTTTTATATAATGGCATGTATATTGTTTTTATCTATTTATTTATAAGTTACACAAATGATCCTTATCCATTTGTATCAAAAAAATTCTATTTTTTACTTGATAGTTATAGCTTATTAATTTTATAAATTATTTTAATACATTATTTTTGAATAATAATTACTTGATCAATATCAAAGCTAAAAGATAATTTGACTTTATCATATAGCTTGAAATGAGAACTTTCATATGACACCATCTTCTATATTACACAAAATTGATCTGAAGTAATATTTTAATTTATTGTTTTGAAATAAATATATTAATTATGTCCTTAAAATAAGTTTATAATTTTTCTTTGAATTTCAACCTTTGAGATTTTTTTCAAATATTTTTTCTAAATATAAAAGTAAAATAATTACTTGATTAATATATTTTTAATTAACAATCTAATTAAAAAATTTCAAAAATTTGAATCTATTAAAAATGAATTTATCTTTAACAGTACAGAACCTTAACTTCTATAATAGAAACTTATAAAATCTCAAATAAAATTTAATCAAATAATTAGATTTTTATCAAATTATATAATTAAAATACATTTGTTTAAAGGAATCTATTTATGGAAAAAAATTATTTTTTCCAAGATTACATAAGTATCACATGATAAACTTTAGCCAATAGTTATTAGTATTATATATTATATTATATGTATTTAACTAATAAATAGGTATATCAAAAATGTTATAATTTATTTATATGTTTCTAAATTAAAATAATCTAGCTATGTAAGTACTACAAAATGACAGTATTTTTAGAAAAGCATATAAAATTTACTATTTCTCAATTTTGTTTTTTAATAATAGGTAATGCAATTTTCAAACCCATGTAATATTGATAAATTTTAAAATTTTTTAATCAAAACTGATAAAATTGATAACTTTTAACTTGTTCTATCAAAATTAACAGTTAAAATTTTGAATTACTTATTTTAAACTGTACAATATACATTTTTTTATTGATTATAGAGGTTCCATACTTTATAATAAACTTTTATTCTCAAATTATTTTAACTTTATAAGATAAGCAATTTTGTATATTGTACAAAAAATAAATTCAACAATATTATTTTGTTAGGGAATTATAATTGGATCATAATCAATTTTATATTTTCAATTGATTTAATATTATGAAATTTTGCAAAATTAATAATATGTTTATATAATTTTATTAATGAAGAGGTTCTATTATATAGAAAGAATAAAGTAAAAAATAGTAAATTAATTAATTTCACTTATTTTTTTTTGAATTAATAATTACATTAGTTAAATAAAAAAAATAGGATGATTTTATTATAAATAATATTCCAATTTTGCATAATTTTATTAAGTCTAGGTAATCAATTTTTTTTTTTATAAATAGGATATCCAATTTACATCATGAATAGAGATTCCGATTTTTGTTTATTGGACCAGTGACCATTAAGAAATATATAACTGTTTTATTTCAGTTACAAGTTAAATATCATTTATTAGATGATTCACTATTTGATAGGTATAATAAATAATAAAATAATTCTTCATGAGAGTTACAATTAATTGCAATTGAAAATTGCAACTTTTTTCATTTCCTTTTGAATTACAACTGGTATTTATTATCAGTAATAGAAGTTTAGGATATTATAATGTTATCAAAACTATTGAATTTAGTCAAATACAATTAAAATTAAAAAATTGAAATGAGTTATGAAAATTGATGCAATTGATACAATTATATATATATGACAACATGTAAATAGTATGTGATAAAATATATTCACAAGAGTTGTAATCAATTAAGTCATATGATACAATTAATTGCAATTGAACTGAATTGCAACTTTTTGTTTCCTTTTTTGAACTATGTTAGATATTGTTGTTTAATATATTTATTAGTACTGTTAAATGAAAAAATAAGTATAGAGATACAATGTATAGTTGTATAGTCAGAAAATTTGTTGGCTATTTGATAAGTGACCATTTCTTTTTTGAATTACAACAGGTATCATTAACTAAGTAGCATAGCTAATAAAATCTTGTCACATTAATTTTTTGATTTTATTTGAATTATAATATATTAAACAAGTTAAATGTCAATTTTTTGACAATATAATTAGAACATTTTTAAACATAGAATGAACAATTTGCAATAAGTGCAAATAGGCTGGTATTTACAAACTGGATATCTAGTTTTTGATCACTTAGCTGGTGAATATTTTCTGATATCCTTATAGAGTTTCAATAATATAAAAAATTAATTGTTAATTCAGATTTATTTATACAATATAAATATATCTTTATTAATAAGACTTATTGAATGAGATTTGTTAGTAAAAAAATTTCAATGACTATTTATAATTCTTACAATTGTTTGAATGAAATGATATAATATGTAACTTATCAGTTTTTAAATATAAAAATTATATTATAAAAACATTATTTGATATCTATTTTATTAGGATTGATTGGTTTGACCTTGTTATGATATTTTGACATTGGCTTTTTAGTTTTTCAGGAATGTGTTTTTTTTTGTATCATTATTCTACAATTGTAAATATGCTCCTATTTTCAATTGTACCAAGGGAAAATTATAATGTAAACCTTAAAAAAATGTAAAATTTCAGAAAAATTAGCAGAAATAATTTCGCTCTAACCATTTTTTCACGTTTCTTTATATATTTGGTTACTTTCAATATCTCAGATGATCTATTTTGGTAATTTTTCATTGTGATAAATAAATTTTTTTATTGGCGCGAATATATGGCGAATCTGACTCCAGCTGTGACGCAGATCATAGCCTAATATAGTTAAGATATTGTGGTACAAAGGATAGCAAGTTGTTTATTCAAATAAGAAATATAAATACATGAAAAAGATGGGATACAGTTTTTTTGCGATCACTCTTTTGTTTCTTCTCAAATTTCTTTTACCCCTTTTTTCTTTGACTTCGCATAAAAATTATTGTTTCTTTTTAATTGAAAATTTTGAATGCTATAATAAAGTTGTAAGTATTCATATAATTTATTTTGAGAACTATATGACGTTCTTATTTGAATATTTTGGGTTTTTTTAATTGTAAAAATTAGTATTTATAAGTTATCTATAAATATTTTGGTTATTTCCCTGATAGTTTTAGTAATTACTCATTTATAACTATTTTAAATAGAATAAAGAAGAATTAAAACTTTTTTCTATATATTTTATTTATTCCATTTCACATATAAAAAAAGTGATTTTTTATTTTTTATTTTTTATTTCTTTTTTTTAAATAATGAATTTTTGCTGAATGAAATCAATTAAATTAATTAATAAAAAAAATAAAGATTAGAAGATCAAAATCGTTCTTTCAAAAGACTTTCTAATTTTTTTCATTATTATTTCTAGACAAGAAATGTCTTCTGTATCACCCAAGACCATCGCCCAAAATGTCGCCGCCAGAAGACGTGGATCTAAAATTAGTAATAATCGACCAATTAACAATACTAGTCCTAATACCAGATCCAAACGTAATGCTAGTACCAGCAATTCACATTCTACTAACTCGATTACACGAAGAACAACTCGAATACAGACCCGATCTGCAACGGCCAATTCAAGATCAAATTCCATTAGTCGACCAACTGTTGATATTGAAACAGGTACTTTGATAAGACGTCCAGTCAAAAGACGACGTCAAGAAAAATCATTGTCAATGTTTTTTCTTGCTCTCGATGAATCACATAATGGTGCTACTAAACGAGAACGTTCAGTTACAAATACTAGGTCATCACTATATAATAATAAAAACATTGATAATGATGTTACATCTTCCGATGACACGGCGATGGATCTTTCATCTGATGTAACGATGGAGGAGGATGCTACAGATATGACAAGTAATGAGTCAGTTGATGCAATGATCATTGATTCGAAAGATTCGGAATCAAAAGGGATTTCAGATTTTCTAATAGATTCGCCTAAACTGATGTTAAATCATTCAAAAGAAGTATCGGACATTAATCAGATAGAAGAAATGCTGATCAATTCTACTGATGAGAAATCAAAAATGTCAACAACTGTAGACATCAAAGATTCCATTGATAAACCTCCACAAGATTCATCAAATGAAATAGTTGATGGGTTGACCAATGTTATTAATATTACTTCAACGGATGTAGTGGTAGATGGTTCTGAAAAGAAGGGATCACTTGACGAGAAAAAAATAAAGGAAACAACAGAAAATTCTAATGATTTAATTATAGAGGATTTATCCGATAAATCGAAAGATGCCAATATTCTAGAAAGTAATTTTAAAGATACAATGAAAGATGAATCATTAAAATCAAATATTCAAAGTTCATCTAATAAAATGATTAATGAAATAGAAAATGTATTAAATAATGAATCAATGGACACAAAAGATGACAATACATACAATACATTAGATAATAAATTAGATATTGTTACAGAAGAAATAGAGACGAATCATTCAGAGAAAGTAATGGCGGATAATTTGAATAATAAATCTATAAAAATTCCATTTAATGAAACAATTCAAGATTCGGAAAACAAACAAAGTTCATTGATGGATAAACCAATGAACGAAGCAATGAGGGATCTTTCTGATAAAACTATTAATGAATCAAAAGTTATAGTTAGAGGGATTACAATTAATAATAAATCAGAAGATTCAGCGAAAGGTGATTCTAAAGATATGCCAATAAATGAACTAACATGTCAAATTATTGATATTGTAGAAAAGGCAAGACCTAAGAATGAAAAATATCAAAATGAGAATTTGAACATATCAAATGAAGAAACTGGAAATACTTTAGATGATTCTGATATTCGACGGGACAAAACTTCAATAGATTTGCAACAAAAGGAAAACAATTTACTTAAACAGGTTAGGATAGAAAGCTCTTTTCCAAACGATCCCAGTTGTTTGACTGAAAAAAGGAATGATTCAAATGATACAAATATTAGTATTTTTGCTAATCTTGGTTTAGTTGAAAGTGAAGAGAATATGGAAACCAATTCAGTTATTGAGAATAAAGTTACAAATTTGGATTCGAATAAAATCACAAATTCGGATTTAATAGAAAACGCCTCCGAGAAAATTCCTTCAGTAGATAACGAAGGTATGAATATACTAGATACAGAAAAAAAAATAGAAGAAAAATTAGATAACTCTTTTAGCATACCTCCTGGTATCGAAGTGATTAATTTAATATCAGATGATGAAGAGAATGAAGAGGATGACGTTATAACAGTAAATTCGTGGTCTTCAATGGATGTTAATATAGATGAAGACGATATACCATTTTTATCAGACCCAGAGGAAGGAGAATGGCATTCGAGTGAAGAGGAAAATATGGAACAAGATAATGCGAAAGAAAAATATAAGAAAGATGATGAGGAGGAGGAAGATGAAAATAAATTTAAAATTAATGATTTGATGAAAGGAATGAATTCACATACAATGATTAAGTTAATCGATCGTATTTTTCCTTTAGGAACTAAAAGAAGAAAATCGATGTATTCTAGGAAAAGTGCATCTAGTAGCTAAAAAAAAATATAGATATAAACAATTTAAAACAATTAGACGAGTATAATTATTCATTGCAATACAAATATTGAAAAAAATTTACGTATTTCGTTAATAAACTTGTGAATTTAATTTTTTTGTGTGATTAAGTCAAAGTCGTGTGCACATTTTTTGCAGACAAATATAATAAAATTATTAATAAAATTTGATCATTTATTTTTTTTTTTAAAAGATAAGAGTTGTATTGATTATGCAATCTTTCATATCGATATATTAAAAGTTGCTTAAATCTGGCAAAAAAAAAGTACAGAAAAAGTAAAAAAAGAAAAGGGTTCAGCAAAGATCTACAATTAATTTCTTATTACAGAATGTCCGATGCTTACATAAGTGGATTTTCCATTATATTTATAGCGCTTTATACATATATTTAGTCATGTGAAGGTTATTGTTTATGAAACAGGGGTTCCTTTATTTGACTTTTATGATAAAATGTGATACCCTTAATTTGATAACAATGAGACGTAGCTAATATAACCTAATATAACATTATTTTTAATTTATCACATGATGCATTATCGTTTCGAAATAATCGTTCGTTTTTTTTTTTTTAAAAAAAAATTTTTTTTTAATGAGATAATAACGTGAGATTCCATACAATCCTTTGTTATCTTTAAAAGAATTTATTTTATTATTTGTATCTGTTTTTTTTATGTCTCTTGTCCAATTAAAAAAAAACCGATAACGGAGAGAAATGTTAAGACCTAAGATCATAACTTTTTTTAAATTTATAGATAAAATTTCAATTATTTATAATTTATGGAGAACAAGGATTTTTTTTTTTAAAAAAAAATCTAATTACTAATATTATTATTGATCAAACTCTTATATCCAAAACCGTTTTCAGAATATTCCAAATGTTTTAATATTTAATTAAAATTTGTTTAGATAAATTAAAAGATTGTAACCGGGATATAAATTTCAAAAAAATATAGGAAATTAGAATAAATATAGCGAACAAAGAAATTAAAATTAGTAATACTAAATTAGTTCGAAACGTTTATCCGAATTTTATTATCTCGAAAACCTTCTCCGTATTTTCACGATTGATAAGTTAAATACTATATTTTTATCTACTAAAAAGTTTGAAAAAAACTTAAATTAAGGTTTGATAAATTGTGGCGAAATAAGTTATTATAAATATTAATATAAATACGCCTAAATTTAGAGATTTAGAGATTTAGAGATCTTTAGTATACATAATATAAAATGTATAAAGTGCGTAAAATCAATTATTATACATTTTATTATAAGCAATCTTCTTTGTCTTTTTCATTCAATATAAGTATTACGCAACGAGGTAAATTATAATATTGAATTAAATATATTAAATATATTGAATATAAATTAATTTGTACAACAGTTTAAGATTTAAATAATTATTTTCAATAATTCAAAAAAAAATTGCGAATCACAATAAAAGAATAGAAACGTTTTCAGTCCCTATTTTCTCAATATTTTATATACACCTTATACTTGATACACTTTTTAAGAGAATATTATCATGTAAATAATTGATGTTGACTCTAATAGCATAACAACTTGTATTTACTGGTAAATCACGTGATTTTAAAAATCGCGTAAATATTCTCTTGGATCCTGGGTCTCTAAACAATTGTAATATCACGTATATCACGTGGATATTTACTTTAAAAAATTTTATTTATATAGAGGATAAGATAAGAGTCTGAACTTGAGGTCTATTTTAAGGACTTTTGAATTTATATTAACGAATCATTAATCAATAGTTTTAATTAAGTGATAATATTTTTAACTGTCGAATGATGCAATAGGTTGGTAAGTAAATGATTATTATAAAGTGATTTTTAGTAGTCCTAATAATATTGAATTTTAAATGTAATATTTTAAATATATGGTAAAAATAAATTGTTTATCTAATCATCTAATAAAGTTTAATTACAAAATTTTTTTTAAAAAAAAATTAATAAAATACTTTATTTCATTTAAAAATTAAATATGTTTGATCATGTGAATATTTTCATTCATATTTAATTTTTTTTTTTTTTTACACAATATCGCTACGCCACAAAGACGGTAAATGACTGTAAAGAGAATAGTGAATATATGTAAATATTTGATTGTCAAACACTAATAACTGGTTGATTAAAATATTATTGGGAGAAGAATATAATACCGAAATATTTTTTTTTATTAAAATTTTTATTAATATTAATTTTTCTTATTATTGGTTTTCCTTGTATATATTAAAATTTTAAGGCATATCAGATATAATAATACTGTATAAGAAAAAAGTAGGGTTATAGTTAATCCAATATGAGTAATATGAACGTGCATATGCAGTCAAAATTAGTGGTAAGTTCTTACTTTTTTTTTATATCGTAACAAAAAGAAACTGATTGAGAAATTTTTAAATTGTTTTTTTTATTTATTTATAAAGTTACAAAATTGTACTGCACTAATGTTGCATTCATTGTAACAGATATAGAAGTGATTCTTTTCTGAATAAAAGAACAAAGAAGATTGATTATATCACAAGTCACAAATGACGATTTGTATCATTCTTTACATTCTCTTTGCATAACATTCCATCAAAATAATATATATGTATATTTTACAAAGAACGGTTCATTGATAATCATAATTAAATTACTATAAACAGGGTTAATAAAAATTTAACGGTTTTAATAAACAGCATTTAAAACTTTATTATGTAATTCTTAGATTTCAAAGATTAAAAAAAAGTTTGATTCAATTCATCCTAAAAATTATCAAATATACAAATTATATTGTAATATGCACATCCAAACATTAATGTAAATAATAATAAATTAAAATTTGGATGAAACATTTAAATTCTTTAAAAAAACCTAATAAAAATTACTGTGTTTTTAAAAAAAATAATAAGTTTTTTTTTTAATCAGTTACGACATTTTAATTTGGGTTCAAAAACAAAGCAATGGTAACTTTATTTAAAATATGTATGTTACGAAAATTTATCGTAAACGTAATAAGTTTTTTGGGTGACCGACTTTATTTTTTGCTGTTCACCAAATAAAGACATTTTTATTATTGCGCAAATCACCTATATCAGTCATATCGTGCTACGTTACATAAACAGAAAATTATATCGAAGGTACAGGATAAGGTTATAATTTCTTGGTTATAATAATTATAATAACAATATTTATTTTCTCTCCAGACCATTTTCTAAGATTTGATTTCTTTTAGTGATCTTGGCAATCTTTGTTAAAGAATTCTTTCTCTAATTTGGAACCAATTACACGTTATTATATAATTCGGTTAAAATTTTTTTAAAAAAAAATTAACGGATGTATTTATCGAAATCACGCACTCTTTATCATATAAAATTAAAATTCTCTTTGTTTGTTATATTTAAATTATATAGTAATTATAATAATATGATAAAATGTCTTATTATGTTTTTATCATGTTATTGCTAAAATAATAAAGATCACAAACTTTTAAAGAAATTTTTAGCTATTTTCCTAAATTATCAAACAGTGAAGGAAGAAAGAAACATGAACGAGAGAAAATATTATTTAAAATTAATTGAATTAATTTAATACATTTTATTTCATTTTTTTTTCCTTTTTTGAGACATCTCCGATATTATTTACAAAAATAAAATAAAGTTTTTATTGTTAATTCTTAACTATTGAATCGCGTCATCATAGAATTCTTAATTCCCGAATAACGTCATAACGTCATTATAGAAAAAAAATGTTGGGTCTGAATTTTTATTCCTATCATTATTCTATCGTTATTTTCTATCATTATTCTATCATAAACATTTATGTAATATACATTGCATACTTAAAAAAAAATACTCGACATGCATCAATAATAAAGTCTACAAAAAATATATTCGTAGTCATTATACACATAATATCATCGTGACTATTGTTTTTACCCCACAATTTTCTATAATTTAAAAACGTACATCATAAAACCAGAAATGAAAATTGTGACAGAAAACACGTAAATATACTATTACCTAAAATAGACGAACAAGAAGAAAAGTTTATTTTTCCTAATGTAATACAAATTTTCGTGATTATTATTTATTGAAGTATAGTTACAAATGGCTTAATTTTTTTTTTCGCGCATACAAAGAGTCCGGTTCTTTGTTCATTTTTATTTTATTCTGACGTTTAATAACTACAGTAATGTTTTCCTTTTTATGGTAATATTTGTTTTTTTTTTTAAATACGTTGTACATATAACTTATAGTTAACGTCATCATTAATCGTGTTTTTATTGTTACGATATCCACCGTCATTATTATTATCATTACTATCATCGTAAAATGTCAAGATTTTCATTGTACATAATTTCCCTCTAACCACTTTTTCTCTGATCGAATTAAATTTATAATTTAAGTTTCAACTTTGGAAAGATGTAGATTATCAAATGACTTAAGGTTATTTGAAAAAGATAAATAACTTTTTTTTAAAATCAAGATTTTCTCCTGTACATGACATATTAATAACATTCGTGAAATAGATAAGAAATTTTAACCTAAATAGAAATTACTATAATTGATACTAAAAAAAAAAATTTAAGACTATGCATAAATTATAAACTTATATTATTAGTTTTTATACATTAATTAAGACATTCATAAGATTACCAAAATAAGGAATGATCGGTAAAATAAAATATAATTACATAATTGATAATCCATTATCGTGGTTTTTGAAGTATTAACCAGATTGCCAAGTATAGTTAGTTCAGTATATAGTATAATAAGTTAATTAGTAGTTAACAAGTTAATTTAATAAGTTAAATTATTTATTAGTACTAATCATTAATTAATACTAAACATTAATTAGTTATAGGAAGAAAAGATATTTTTTTTAGAAAATTGAATGTTTGTATCGCAAAGTACGCCCCAAGACAAATGGTTTATTATTTGCTATACTACAAATTTGGACAACAGGAAAAATAATACTACAACAAAAAAAAAAAAATAATAATTCAAAACTATAAAGAAATTCTATATTATCTCATCACCTTTTTTTTTTTGTCAGTTGAAGTGATAACAATTAAATTAATAATAATAATAATTAAATTAATAATATTGACAATAATAAAATCAATAATAATAATAATTAAATTAAAATAATAATAATAATAAAATTAATAATAATATAATAATCATCATCAATCAATTAAATTAAACGTCAATCAATCGCAGTCATTAGCCGTTCCCTTAAACGATAAGAAAAAAAAATTGTACAAATTTTTATTAAACATTTTTTTTTTTTAAATAAAATAAATAAAATGGGAATGAAATAATTAAAAAAAACGTTAAATAGTTTATCAACATATCTGCAGTAACTAAAGTAAATAATATATTGGCGCATACATAATGTACATGTGTATTATGATATTGAACGTGCGATCGTTGATTAATAATATATTTATAATGATTCACTTTAATACCGGAATGGAATGTGTATCCTATAATAATCCAGAAACAACAAGAACCAAAAATTTAACAAAGAATGAAATTTTTATTACTGGATTTCTAATCAAAATGATTTTTTTAATGGTTCGATAATGAGTGTTAAGATTATATAAATTAATATAAATTAATATAAATTAATATAAATTAATACGCATATTAACATTATAAAGTCTAAGAAAAGATTGTCGGAGACATAATCCGAGAATTTTTTTTTTTCCATTATTAAAAACAAAGATATATATAATGTGATAATAATCATCACTTAAATAAAAAAGATATACGAATATATAGTAATGCTGTTATATATTTTTATAATATTTCTGTACTGTGTATATCCCTGTTTTAGAAAACAAAGAAATATTTTAATTTTAAAAAGGTGATAAATTCGGAATAATTGAATTATAATTAATTCTCTTAATTTCAACCAATTATTTTCATTTACTTTTCTTTATTCTTTTTTTTTCTTCTTCAATTTTATAACTCTATATAAATAGTAGATTTCGTTTTGCTTTCATTACATTAGATTTTTTTCTCTTTTGAAAATCCTAGATTAATAATTATAAATATTGTTATTAGTTATTTTATTATAACAAACCCCAATTTCAAAAAAAAAAAAAATCATTTAATTTTTTATAATTTAGTACTTTGTGATATATTAGAATTTATAAAAAAAAAAAAATTATATATAAATATCTATTGCATTTCAAAAATTTAAAATAATTTTTCGTTGATCGAAACAAATAAAAAAAAAAAAAAAAAAAACGAAAAATTACTCAACAAAATAATTTTAAATTATAATATTAATAAAAAAAAATGGGCAAAGTAAACTCCAAATCCATTCGTTATCCTCCATCTCCCACATCTCCTTCCAAAAAATCAAAACGTTCACGTCAAAAATCTAATGCTAGTTCTACTACATCTCAAGAATCCAATTCTTCATTCAAAAGATCGTCTGATAATATTAATCAACAACAATGTCCATCACCTGCATCGTCACAAGAAAGTTTCTTTTCACCATGTCGTTCGATGGATTTCGATATATATGAATATATTGGAGATAGAAAGCATTGTAATAATAGTTTAGACCACGTAAATTATATTTATCCAGTTGATGAAGATGAAATTGATAGAGGTCAAATGCAACATTTTATGTATAAACATGTTTGGGGAAATAATTTTTCTTCTCCCGTTCACGATTTATTACAAGAAGCAGATACTAAAGTATTGGATATTGGGTAAGTTTCATTTATTTATTACTATATTTAGATTTATATTTACGATTATATATAACTATATTTATTTATAGTTATGACTTTAAAATTATATTTTATTTATTTATATTTATTTATTTATATTTATTTATTTATTATTAAATGAATATTAGCTGCGGCTCAGGAGCATGGGTTTTAGAAATGGCTACCGAATTTCAGAATCCTCAATTCACTGGCATTGACATAGCTCCACTTTATCCTACCGAAATCAAACCAGAAAATGTTTCATTTCAACAAGCAAATGTTTTATTAGGTTTACCATTTGAAGATAATACTTTTGATTTTGTTTATATACGGTTTATGATTTTTGCTTTTTCGGTAGAAGATTGGGAACGTGCCATAAAAGAAGTTGTTAGAGTAACAAAACCTGGTGGATGGGTTGAAATTATGGAAAAAGATCTTTATTGGTACAACGAAGGACCTTTTTGTAAAGCTGCTCGAACTGCTGGTAAGAATTTATATTTTATACGATTACATTTTATTTTTATACATTTTATTTTTATTATATACTAATCTTTTAAATAATTTTTATAATTAATTTTAATCTTACTAGTCGCTGAAGCATTACGAGAAACCAAAAACATGGAAATAATTTTATCCCCAATTATACCCCCCATATTATCTTCTATATCGAATCTTGAATCCAATATAAATCATGAAGAACGTAATGTACCATTTGGTGAATGGGGTGGAAAATTAGGTACAATATATAAAGATTTATATACTTGGGGTGCCAAAAATTTGAAAACATTTATGACAGGTATTGGATTTAATGAAGAAGAATGGGATGAAACTGTTGATATTTGTATGAAACAATTAAATGATAGAAAAGGATTTGATAAAATTCATAGATTTTGGGCGATGAAGAAATTAGAACCTTAAAATTTTTAAATTAATTGATAAAAAGAAAAAGATAGAAGGGTTATATTTATTTATGTAAATTTTTTTTTAATTTTGTAAATTTTGTTTCATAGCTTTCATTCATTCATTCATTCATTATTTTACATAGACTATCTACATTCTTTTTTTTTATTTTATTCTTTTTGTATTTTATTCCTCATCTCTCGTCTTTTACTCTCTTTTCCAATTTCTCGTTTCTCACCTTTCTCTCGATTATTCACTTTTTTTTTTTTTTTAACTCAAATTGTTATTATTATATTTATATATTTTGTACATACTATATATACACGACATTTACATTCATTTTACATACAAAACATTCATTTTTATAACATTTTATAATGCAATTTGTATTTTTTTTACAATTGTTTATTTTTTTTTAACAACTTATTATTATATAGACATATATATTTCAATATTTTTTTTATATAGTAAAATAAAATTCAAATTATTATTATTATTTCATATACATACATATAAAACATTATTCATATTTAATATTTAATAAAAATTTTTACCAAAAAAAAAAAAAAAAAGGAATTCACAAATTTTTTTATAAACTGCATCATTATTATGCATTATCAATATAAGAATCTTGATTCTTAAATTCTTTGGTATCATTAAAATCATTACTTCTATCAATAATGGCTACCGGCGCAGGTTTTTCTAATGAAGATGGAATATGTTCATTGTCATATACTTTTATAACTGGTACAAACGATTGTAATTTTCGATTATACATTTCTTGTCCAACTATATTAATAAACAATTATATATATATAAATTTAAGTATATGTGCGTATGTTAGTGTTATTAATGAAGAAATGAATAATAATAATAATAATAATAATAATAAAGACATTTACCGTATTCTCTCATTCCTGCATTAAAAGTATCAATGACCCTCGAAGCACACTTGATTGTACACTATAAAAATATTGAATATCATTAATCATGTGATATACATGATAACGTAGTTATGACGTAATATGCGCGAAAAAAAAATTAAAACTTACCACTCCTATAAGTTGGAACGGAAGACCTATAGTATTTAAAGTTTAATTAATATACGGAATGGAAATAAAGCAATATAAAAGTAATATAAGGTTATAATATAAACGCGCCAAAAGATAAACAACAACAACAATAATAATAATAATAACAACAATACGCGTTTCGAGTTACGTGAATTGTAATATTTATAAAATGAAATATGACGTAGCGTATGACTTACCAAAGAATGTTATAAAGAAAGGTCCAATAACACCACGCATATAGCAAACCGCAAACAATATGATCCAATCAATTGAAACAAATCCCCAAGTTCTAATAAATTGTTGTAATCTTACAGTGTTTTCTTTTTTAACCTTTGAAGATAAAAAAAAAAAAATTTTTTTTTTTTTTTAACAAAATAACAATACTTAAATATTAATCAATAAACAATAATAGATAAATATTAATATTCTTATATAATAATAATTACCGATCTACCAGCAAGAAACAATACTCTCAAAGCAACTCCCGAAAAAATTACATGTAATACTGAAAATGCTAAAGTAATTTTACCATATTTATCGAAATTACGAATACATGATATAACCAATGCCAAAGTAGGAACGAACAAAAAGAGAATAAAGAACCCATTGGCTTTATATAACATAATGAACGAAAGCCGTGTTTTAAACATTTCTACAAAATTAAAGTAATTATTTAAGTATTATTATTAGTATAATTAGTAGTAAATAAAAAAATAATTCTAACAATGACTAATAATAATAATAATAATAATAATAATAATATACTTTGCATTTTCTTATCAGTTCCAATTTTCTTATAAATAAGTCCTCCAAATTCTTTATTCATCTTGAATGTAAGATATACCAAAAAACAAACTAATGAAGAAGTCATGATAATATTTGGAACATCATTGGTGAAATAACTGGGATCGAGTGGTTGACTTTGTCCACATTTATTATTAAATTGATCGGTTTTAATTTTGGTTTCTGCGATTTGGGTCTATTATTATTAATATATACATATATTTATATAAGTTGTAAGAGATAATGTTATATAAAGAGAATGTTATAAAGAAAACGTTATTAAGAGAATATTATATGTAATTGATAACTTACAAATCCGAAAAGAGCAATAAGAATACTCATGAACGCAACAAGTTTAATTTGAGGCATATACTGACGTATTACCTAAAAAAAAAAAAAAGGAACACGAATTTTTTAATTTAATTAATAATAATTATTAACTTTATAGACAATCTAGAAACCATCGAGAGAAAAATAATCGAACAAGATATTTGAGAGAGAGATGTATTTATTCTATTTCAACAACATACCGCATCTAAACCCATGAGAAATAAAAATGATTGAATATAAAAAAGAAGTGAAGATTCTCTTTCCATTCTAATAAAAGCATTATCATCAAAATTTTTTTGAACACAAGCCATATCATAATTATTATTATAAGCTTCGTCTATAAGACGAACATCTCGAAATGTCACTTTTATTAGAAAAAATGCCATCAATAATGTTTGAATTGCTAAGGTTCCTATAAAAAGTTTCGTGGATCGGGAATAATTGATCTTATTCCACTACAAATAAAATAATAATCGTAATCATAATAATAATAATTAATTATGATATCGCGTATTTTGTTATAATGAAATTATATATACCTTTTTCGATATTTCTCTCTCTGATAACAACATTTTTTTTTTTTTATTTAAAAAGCGAAGAAAAGATATTTAAAAATATTTTATATAGAAAAATAAATGATATCTCAATAAAATATTAAAATTAAACGTAAAAAAATATGATAGGAGAAATAAAATTGAAAGGAAAAGAGAGAACAAACAATCCCTTAATGTGAAACTTGTCAGAAAAAAATAAAATAATAACAATTTCTTAAATTGATACGTAATAAATCATCAATTTAATCATCAATCTGAATTATTTTTTTTTCTCATGGAAAAGAAGAAAAAAAAAAAGATATTTTAAGAAAGATTTATATATCAATATTTTTTAATCATTCTAATTCTAAATGGATTGCTATTTTTCCCTTGACAAAACACATTAATCCATCTAAATCAATATAACTCATCAAAATGGAAGTTTTATTTTAGTTATTTTTATTATTATTATTATTTGTTGAGTTGATTTTGTTTGCTTTTTATTTTATTTTTAAAGCAAAAATAAAAGTAAATAACGTAATACTGATAAATAACTACAAAATAAAATAACTATTAAAGATAAACTTCATTCACATATTCACATGATTCCTTGTTAATATAAAAAAAAAATCTTCTTTAATATATCCGATTTACATAATTATGAATAAATAAATTAAGTAAAGTTTTTTGAAAATCTTTTTATATTATCTTTTATATTATCCATTTCCTTATTTACCATCTATTTACAATCCGTTTATTTATCACCCGTCATTTTTTCATGTATTCCATAAATTGGAACAACAAATCCCTCGTTGAAACACCAATAATAAATCTCGTATACGAAATATGAAAAAATAAGGTTTTTTTTAAAAAAAAATTATTTACGTATCAAGTTTGGTTTATATTTATAAAATTATTTTTAAAATGTAAAATAAAATAATTCTAATTTTATGTCGTATCATTTAATGAAAAACATTTTTAAAAAAAAAATTTGTTTAACGTAAATAATGTAAATAATGAATTCGCAATTTCATTCCATTCCATTCTATTCTATTATATTATATTGATCATATAATATAAATATTAAAAATATATATATAATATAAATAAAAGAAAAAATATATACTCACTTTTTACATTTTTAAATATTTATTATTTCTCCGGCTTCGTCTTAAAGGAACAACCGTTGTATTGGTACATAATTTCTTATTACTTTTTTTAGAAAGATGTGTAATATTGAAAAAGAAAATTATATAATGATCGATACATCCGTTTAATTTTTTCCTTTCTTCGGCACTTTTCTTTTTATGTCATCATTCGAATCACCTAAAATAAACAAACAAATATGCATCCTAAAATAATATGAAATATATATATATATACAGTATATATTTACCAGAATTTTTGTCAGTGATAATATCATCATCATTTGAATTTTCTTGAAAATAAATCTTATTTTTTGACTCAAGAAACTGAATTCTTTGTTAAAAAAGAATTGATCTTTAATTTTTGTAAATATGCAATAATTACTGATGAACAAGCCGAGGGTTATGTGAAATCAGAGCAGGCTGATGAGCCTCAAAATTAGAACGAGTATTCAAGAAGAAAAACTAATTGTTATAATTTCACGAGTTTAGCCTTGAGCTTGACGATTTCTTTATCAGCCTTTGTAAACTTGTCCTTAAGATCAACCTTCTTTAACTTGAGTTCTTTAATTCGAAATTTCGAGCTAATTAGTATACAAAAACAAATATATAAAAAAACTCGTGCATGTTCCGATAATCATAATACATAAAATTTAATTTTTATTGCGTATTACCCATAAAACACCAACATATTAGAGGAAAGATAAGATTAATAAAAAGAAAGTTTATAAACAACAACGAGAGGTTCATAAACAATGACAACAATAAGATCATTATTAAGTAATCATAGAATTAGAAATCTCATAAATAGCATTCATCTCTATAGCCCAATAAAGAACCCCCACTTATTTAAACGACACAAATTCGCAGAGGTATCTCTTGCCTCTTCATCTTCCTAGATACAGATACAAATAAAGGTAGAGGGAATATATATATAAAAAGGAAACTATTTGAATAATTAAATAATAATAATAAAATAATAATAATTGATTAAAATGAAATATTTTAATACTTTTAAAAGTCAGTCGCTCTAATGCTAGATTAGATTGATATATTTAATTTCAATTTTATTTACAATAATTTAATTAATAAAAGTTTTGTTATTTTTAGATAAATCTTGAACCTTCCGAATTCGAGTCAAAAACTTATTACGCCAATATAGAATATTTTCTTTAATATGAATTTTATGAATACATACATCATTATTTATGTGACATATACACGAAATGTTGAAACAGACAGTGCAAGTTAATTAATATTTCATGGATTTGTATTTATAAATTGAGAATTGTGTAGGATTTTTTAAATTATTAAGAATCTGATGAATGAGATATGACTTAAATAATGTTTTTAAAATAAAGTGTATTTATAAAAATTGAATAATGATTGTTTAATTCTTGTATAGCCTAATTTTAGTAAACATTATTGAACAATTATTGGATAATGGTGTAATATGCAAGTCTGAACAAATTTAAGATAATTACTGGATTTTTTTTTTTACATAGGGCTTTTAGATTTAGTGTAAATAGTAGTAGTGGAAGTAGACGTAGTAGTAGTAGTAGTAGGAAGAGTAGTAGAAGGACTATAAATAACCGTAGGGGCAGATGGTCTTGATGTTTTTGTAATAGTAGTAATTACAGTAGGGCTACTTGATATTACTGTTGCTGTTGCTGTTGTTATTACTACAGTGGTTGCTTGTTGAATAGTAATAAAATTTGGAAGTATAATTAAAATAATAATTATTATTATTATTATAAAAAAAGAAAATTTTGGTTGTGGAATCATTTTTTAATTATAAAAACAATAGAATGAGAAAAAAAAATCCGGAAATTTTTTTAAAGTTTTTAATGATTCTATAATTATTAATATCTTTGACTTTTGTGCTCTTTTCATGCGTGCATACATTGTATATATATATATATTGTTTAACATAAATAAAACATTTAAAACTTATAAAACTTGTATATGGTGAAACTTTAAAGAAATTGATAAAAATAGAATTATCACAATAAAAAAAATAAAGTAAAAGATATACAGTATATCATAAATAAATAATTAAAGCGATCAAAAAATCGACCGCGATTAATTACTAACTACAGTAGTAGTTTAAAAATAAATATTGATTTAATTAATAAGTCAAACAAATATGTACCAAAAATTCCATTTCAAAATTTGAAGGCTAATTACCATTTTATTTAAAAAAAATTTTAATAATAAAATTTTGCGACTGTTTAATTTAATTATCAAGAAAAACTTTTTATTTTAATTATAGTAGTTAACGTAATATAATGATTTCTGAAATTCGTGATTCTTTTTCGAATGCAAAAAAATAATCAAGGACCAAAAGTTATAGTAGTAATTGCCTATTTTCCTATTAATTATGCTTCTAAAAGTTCTTTATCGCAAGACTGGATGTTTTTTTTAATATAACTCAATTATACATATTAGGCTTAATTATTTTTCGTGCAACGAGATAAAAGTCATATTCACAAACTTTTTTTTTTCTAAAAAAAGAATCAACTTTCATTTATACACTATAAGTGAATTTAAAATAATAAATGGGACAACTAAATGCAAAATTCCGTGATCAAAGATAGATTAAAAGGTATTAAAGAGATTGCTCATGGTGGATTTGCAACTATTATTATGCTAAGCGGGTTGACGGAACAACAAATGAACTTAATGATACAAAGAGTAATATTGCAAAAAGCTTTAGTAGAGGCAGAAAAATATACAATAATATCCCCTCCTCTCAATTACATTTTCGGTTTTGTCAGTTCCAATTTGGATCAGCAAAGAGTTTATACTGCTGATATAATTTTAGACAAACTTCTTCTAGATCAGGACAAGTAACTCAGAACAGGGTTGTGAACCCATATTTCCAGTTGAGAATAATGCTATCAGAAAACTCTTAAATCTATGAAGCCAAAGATCCTGATCTGAAAATTAAAAAGGCAGATAAAATCACTATAAATTGCTTTTTAGATGAAACAATCAAAATTTTGAAACTCATTCAACAGTTCAGATTAATGATGTTGACTGTAACCTCCAAGTTGTAGCCAAATAGCTACTTATCAGGTAGTTACCTAGTTACTAAATTTATTTTTTATTTTATTTATTTATTTTTAATTTATTATATTAATAATATCACTTATTAATATTACTGCAGATTTTTGGCTTGTGGAGATTTGTAGATTATTTGCAAACAGGCGGGCATATTTGCAAATAAGCAGATCTTTATTAGAAATTACAAAATTTACAAGAGAACTATAATTTATTTAAATTCTGATTGTTGACTTAACTGCCTTTTTCCCAAAGTTAAAAGGACCAGTATTTGGCACAATCATAGACTAACTTTATCTTAAGATAATTTAATAATAATAAATGAAATAAGATTTACAATTATGTAATATAAAATAAATTGATATTCAATCAACTGTACTTATTAGGAGAAATCAAGTAAATTAATTTGAGCATTACCTTATATAGCACTCTGAAGTTGATGTATGATCTACCACATGATAATGAATTAAACCAGATAAATATGACATTTTACACTTCAATTATGAAATGTTGGGGCTCGAGTTACTCATCAAAATTGTATGATGAGTCGGAAATAATTATGTATTATCATACTAAATACTGTATAAGAAAAAAGTAGATTTTTGGAGCTGTTAGGTGAAATAAGTTAGAATCATCAACAAATTCAACAACTATAACTCCATCTTAATTATAATACACATCCATAAAGAAATTTATACCAGTAGACTTAATTTTTTAGGTCTTCCAAAACCTGAAATTTTGAAAAAGAAATAAATACCTCGCAGTTAAATAAATTTCTACTCTTTTAAACCAGCAATATCTCGAAGGACATAAGATATATATTTGTAAACATAAAAAACAAACGACGATTTATTATTATTTTTAAGTTATTTAAATTAATCAAATTAATCAAATATCTTTTTTTGTAACCCAGCATCATCTCAATATTTGTTCATCTTGAGTCGATACAATATTTATTACAAAATATCTGATATATAATATAAAAATTCAATTTTCGTCCATAATCAAAAGTTTATACACAAGAACGAGATGATTATAAACAATAATAACAATAAGACCATTAATGTGGTTTTTTTTTTTGTTTTTATTAAGTAATCACAAATAATTAGATCTTTATAAAATTAATTAGTGAAACAAATATCTCACAAGGTAGTTGCCAGATTCTCTTTTATTTAAACGACACTAATTCGTGGAGGTATTTATTGCCTCCTCATCTTCCTTTCCTGTTAAGATACAGACACAAAAACATTTATCTGAATATATATATATATAAATACGAATCGCTCAAAAAGGGCGAAAAAGAAAACTATTTAAATAATTAAATAATAATAATAAAATAAATAATTGATTAAAATGAAATATTTTAATAATTATAAAAGTCAGTCGAACTAATGTTAAAGATTGGGTCGATATATTTTATTTCAATTTTATAACTTTATATCATATACAATAATTTAATTTTGTTATTTTTAGGTAAATCTTAAATAAATCGACCTTCTAAATTTGAGTCAAAAATTTATTACGCCAATATAGAATATTTTCTTTAATATGAGTTTTAAAGATACATCATTATTTATGTTACATATACACGAAATGTTGAAGCAGACAAGGTTAGGTCAATTAATATTTTATGGATTTGGATTTATAGATTGAGAATTTGTAGGATTTTTTAAAATTATTCAGAATCTGATGAATGAGATATAACTTAAATAATATCTAAAAAAGGTTTTTATAATAAAGTGTATTTATAAAAGGTGAATAATGATTGTTAAATTTTTGTATAGCCTAATTTTAGTAAACAATTATTGAACAATTATTTGGATGATTTGGTGTGATATGCAAGTCCGAACAAATTTAAGATAATTACTGGATTTTTTTTTTACATAGGGCTTTTAGATTTAGTGTAAATAATAGTAGTAGTGGAAGTAGACTTTGTAGTGGGAGGAGAAGAAGGAGAATATGTAAACGTAGGGGAAGATTTACTTGATGTTGTTGTTTGAGTAATAGTTACAGTAGGTCCACGTGATGTTGCCGTTATGGTTCCTACTACAGTGGTTTCTTGTTGGCTAGTAATAAAATTTGGAAGTATGATTAAAATAATAATTATTATTATTATAAAAAAAGAAAATTTTGGTTGTGGAGTCATTTTTCTTAATTATAAAACAATAGAATGAAAAAAAAAAAAATTCGAGAATTTTTTTTAAAGTTTTTTATGATTTTATATCCTTGACTTTTGTGCTCTTTTCGTGCGTGCATACATTGTATATATATATATATTGTTTAACATAAATAAAACTTTTAAAGCTTATAAAACTTGTATATGGTGAAAATTAATAAAAATAGAATTATCATAATAAAAAATTAAAGAGTAAATAAAGTAACAATGAACAATATCATACATTTGATGAGAAATAACTATTGATTTAATTAATTAGCCAAACAAATACGACCAAAAATTCCATTTCGCTAATTACCATAATGAATGAATGTCTTTAAAAAAGTTTTAATAATAAATCCCTATTATCAAGAAAATTTTAGTCTTCCAAAACCTAAGAATGAAGAAAAACTTGACAAATTAACAAAATCTACTTCCGCTTTAATTTTGTTCTTTATACATTTTATTTTTGTATAATTAAAAAAAAATTTTTAATTTATTTCTAGTTGCTCCTAAGTTTTCATGTCCTTATTTAAGTAATATTTTTATAAACATATTTATTATCGCATTTTTATAAAATCTTAACACTAGGTATTTAATTGTATAATAAACTGTTACAAACTAGATAATTTAATTTTTATTTTAATCAAAGCAAGGACCGAAGTTATAGTAGTAATTGCCTATTTTCCTATTCATTTTTCTTCTAAAAGTTCTTTATCGCAAAATTCGGTGTTTTTATATACTCAATTCTACATATTAGGTTTAACCATTTTTCGTCATATTGTCATATTTATATAAACATATAAAACGTTTTTTTTTTTAAAAAAAAAAATAATAATATTCAACTTTTACTTTACACATTAAAATTGAATTTCAAAAATAATTTTTGATAAATGGATAAGTAAAAATTGATTCAATAGATATCCAAATGCAGAATTTAGTGATCAAAGATAGATTAGGTGTAAAAAGATTATTTGCAACCATATATTATGCTAAGTGGATTACACAGCAAATGTATTTGGAGATTGAGATTAAATCTTACAAATCAATATATAATTTAAATGATGGCTAAATTAAATAATTTAATAATACAAGGAGTAATATCGCAAAAGCTTTAGCAGAGCAGAAAAACATATAATAATATCCCCCTCCTCTCAATTGCCTTTTCAATCGCAATCACCTTTTTGTCAGCTCTAATTTGGATCAGCAAAGGCTGATAAAGTTTAAAGAATCAAAATTAATCAAGGCAGAGGTTGTGACCCCATATTCCTAGTTGAGGCCAAAGAGCCTGACTCAGGATTGAAAAAGGCAGATGAGAATCACTATAAATTGCTTTTTAGATGAAACAATCAAAATTTTGAAAACTCACTTAACAGTTCAGGTTAATGATGTTGGCTGTAACCTCCAAGTAAATAGCTACCTAATTACTATTTTCATGTTATAAAAAAGTTTATTTTATTTTTATTTTATTTTTATTAATTAAAAAAAGATAGAATAATTTGTAGATTATTTGCAAATAGGCAATTTGAGTTAAAAATTTTAATCATTCAATTGTATGATGAGTTGGGAATACTGTATAAGAAAAAAGTTTTATAATAATGAAAATGAAAAAAATTGCAGCTGTTAGTGGAAATAAGATCAACAACTCCACTTAATTATCAAACACATCCACAAGAAATTTATATCTTGATTTTTCAGGTCTTGCGAAAACCCAAAATTTTGAAAAGAAATAAAATACCAAGCAGTTAAACAAATTCCTAGTAAGCATATTATCTTAAATTATTCAAATTAATATCATAATATCATAATAATATTTCCTTTTTTTTTTGCTCCGGACGCATCACTTCGGTATTTGTTCAACTTGATCTATTATTAAATTATAATTTCCGTATTACCCAATTAATAATCAATCAAAAGTTTATGCATAACAATGAGATGTGATTTATAAATAATGTGATTTTTTTTTGTGTTTTCGTTAAGTAATCAGATAATTTTAGAAATAAAGATGGTTGTAACACAAATTCTCTCTTTTGTAAATGACAAAGGTATCTCTCTTACCTTCTCCCCTTCCTCCCTTGTTAAGATACGGACATAGACAACGGGCAGAGATAGAGATAGAGGTAGAGGTATATATATCTTTCTCTCTAAATATATATGAATAAAGAATATAAAATGGCTTGTCGGAGCAGTTGAACATCTCGCTCGAAAAAAAGAAAATTGTTTGTGTAGTTAGTACCACAGTCAAGTCAAATCATTTTCAATTAATAAATGTAATTAATGTAATAAATGTGTGACATTTTCTAATGCATTAGTTGCATAACATAAATCGTAGATAATGAATTTCGCGAATGTAATGAATGTAATAGAATAGAATAAAATGATATAGTAAAATGAACAATATAAAGATATCGAAATATAATAGATGAGGTCGATATAAATTAGAATTTTATGTATAAAAATGCGATGATATTCTCCTAAAAAGATATCATCCGAGCTTTATTCAAAATTTTATAATTGATATATATACGTACATATAAAATGTGTATACATTTTATATTTGATAAAGAAGGTAGAAGGTAGATTACTGGGTAATAAAATATGTACATTCTAATTTTATTTGGGTGTACGCGTTTTTACATATTACGAGATTAAGTAATTAAGTTATAATGCATTAATACAATCACTCGAAAAATTTACATATATCATTAAAAAAATTCCAACGAAAATTCTGTTCTCTTTCTTTTTTTTTTTTTAAAAAAAAAAAAAAATTATATCCTTTCTATACCAACAATCCTTTCTATCCTATCCTTCTATCTTTCTATCCTTAAATTTCCAACTATCCTCCTCCTTATTCTCCATCCTCCTTATTATCCATCCTTATTATCCTTTCCATCCCTAATAATATCCTTTTCTCCTCATTTATTTTAAAAGTTACGGTATTCTTTTTCGATTATTTTCTGATCATCACTCGTCAGTCATTTTTCGCTTAACCAAAAAGTTACTCGAATCACCTTAATCTATATCCAAATAATTTAAATAATTTATACATTTATTTATCAACTAATTTAATTAAATATGAAATCAATAATATTATTAAATTTATTATTTTGTTTATTATTATTAATAACTTTAAATGAAGTTCAACATGTACAATCAGCAATTACTCCAAATTATCCTATCGGAGATTCAATATTGAAACCAGGAGATCAAACAAAAATAACTTGGTTAGAAGATAAAAATAAACCATTATTATCGTCACTTCCAAAAGTATTAATCGAATTGATGACAGGTAGCGATCTGAATCAAATCTCATTGCAAACTATAGCCACAGTGAATGCTGTTCTTAAAACTTGTGATTGGACAGTACCCGAAGTTGAACCTGCTGGTCAAAGTACGTAAAATTATATCAAGTTAATATAATTAATATAATTAATATAAATTGTTTTTTTTTCGCGAATAATAATTAAATTATTATTAATTATTAATTATTTATTATTTATTTATTTATTTTTTTTTTTTTAATTAGTCTACTTTTTAAGATTTACCTCAACCTCACCTCCATCTACATCTTGGAGTACTCGATTTATCATTACTGATTCTGAGGGTAATTATCCACCTGTATCAGATGGGCCCAAACCAGAATCTGGAAAAAATCCTGGTGGAGTTGGACATTTAGTAACATCCACTACTAATAATGTCACCACCTCTACTAATTTAAATAATAATATTGAAACTGCTAGTACAACAAAAAAAAATAGTCTTACTTCTAGCAATAGTTTTGTTGCTACTGGTGCTACTGATACTACTGATACTACTGGTACTACTGATACTACTGATACTACTGATACTACTAATACTACTGGTACTTTTACTACTAATACTTCTATTAATAAGATCAATAATGCTACAAAAAGTAATTATGATTCTGTAATATTTTGGAATGTAATTATTTTATCATTTGTGGTGCTTCTAAGTAATAGTTTATTGATTAAAAATTAAAAAAAAAATAAAGTAGTTTAGAGTTTTTAGAGTATAACTTTAATTAGAGTATAATTTTAAAGTAATAGAATATTTTCTGAAAACTCAAAAATATAAATATAAAATATACAGTACAATATTTATAGTATTTATAGATATATATAATATATTTTATTTGAATATGAAATCTACAATAATATTGCACGTGATGCAAATAAAAAATTTTTTATGTTGTAATGAATGCTAATAAAATAATCAACTAATAATAAAATAATAATAATAAATAACAACATTAATAATACAATAAAAATAATAATAATAATAATATGGTAATTTTAATAAAATGATGATATTGATATAATTTTATCTGTCATGATAAATATTAATAATAAATAAATAAATAAATAAAATAATAATCTATATATATGCAATACATAAATAATATATAATAATAATATATAATAATTTACAAAACTTCAATTACTTTAACACCATTAATAACTCCGAGAGTCTCCCCATCTTTTAAACTTTTATTTACAATATTTCCAGTATTTTCATCTATTTTAATTCCCCAAAATCTATGAATCTTATCATAAGCTCCATATGAACTTAATTCATCAATAACTTTATCAACAACTTCATCCCATTCTTGATCATTCCCTCCAAATCTTAATAATTTTTTACTTTTCTTGTTACTTTTTTCTTGATTATTATTATTATTGTTGTTGTTGTTGTTGTTGTTGTTGTTTTTACTATTATTATTATTGTTGTTGTTGTTGTTGTTGTTGTTGATAATAACACTACTATAACTATTACTGCTATAACTATTACTGCTATAACTATAACCTTTATAATTATTATTATAATTATTATTATTATAATTATAATTATTATTATTATTATGATAATTATTGTTATTGCTAAAAATTCCAAATATTTCTTTATCATTATCATTATTATAATTATTATTTTTATAGTTGTTTTTATAATTATTGTTATTGTTAATAGTATCATTATTATTGTTGTCAAATTTAATTCGATGTTTACTACATTCATTCTTAATTACGTTCTTCAAATTCTTGGCACCCCAAGCATAAATTTCTGAATAACTTTTACCTAAATTACCACCAAATGGTACATTCCTTTCTGAATGATATATATTGGTAACTTGATTTGTCATTGTTAGATATTTCGGTAATTTTGGTGATATTATAATTTCAATCTTTTTTCTTTTTCGTAATTGTTTGGAAACTAAAAAATAAAATATAACATAATTAATTATAAATATAAACATAAATAAATTTAAATTAAATGTTAAAAGGTTCTTAAATATATTCACTTACGCCAATGTTGAATTCCATTCGCAATTCTTCCGGCTCCAAAGAAAAGAATGTCTTTTTCCATCATTTCTATCCATCCACCAACTTTACAAACTCTGACCGCTTCTTTTACAGCTTTTTCCCATTCATCAATAGTAAATGCGAATATCATTAACCTTATCATTACGAAATCAAATGTATTATCTTTGAATGGTAAACCTTTGAGAATATTGGCTTGAATAAATTCAACATTTTGAGGTTTCACGGAGGTAGGAAATATTGGTGCAATATCTATGCCAGTGAATTTTGTTTGAGGATAATCTACCTAAATAAATAAATTATTGTTAAAATCATTATTAAGAAATTATATATATATATATATATATATATTTATTTATTTATTTATTTATTTATTTATAATGAAAATTGTAACTAACCGACGTTTCAAGAATCCAATATCCGGGACCACAACTAGAAAATTTAATACAGAAATTTATAAATACATATGGATAATATAACATACATATCGAGTATATATATATATATACATAACAAATATATAAATATAAATAAATATATAGAATTATATAAATACCCAATGTCAAGCACACGACTATTCTCTTTACAAAGAATTTCGTGTACAGGTGCAGAAAAGTTATTTTCCCATACATGCTTATAGATATAAAATTGATATTGTAATCGATCACACTGAAATAAAATAAAATAAAAAATTAATTATGAAAAATAATCAAAATCAAAATATAATTAAATAATAAATAAAATACCTCTCGATCATCGATTGGATAAATATATTCAAATTCATTTTTTGATTTTCGATTACTTATATAATTGATAATATTAAAATCCGGATATTTATTTGACAATTTTTTATTATTATTATTATTATTATTATTATTATCATTATTATTATTATCATTATTATTATTGTCGTTATCTGATATACGTTTTTTTTTATTACATTTTTTCTTTTTTATAGTTTCAAATTTTAAATCTGGTAATGAAGCCAGTTGTAATTTTTCAGTTTCGGATAAAGGATAATTTACTATTAAATCAGCTGTAATTTGATCATCATCATCATCATCATTATTATTCTTAATCTTATTGATATTACCATTATTATTGTTATTATTGTTATTAATATCTTTAACATTTTCTTTATCGGATTTAGAATTAGCGGATGATGTTGTTGTTGTTGTTGATAATGATGTTGATGATGTGGAAGATGAACAACAAGAACAAGAACAATATTCAAATGAATTAATCGAGTTGGTGGGTGAACGATCATGAATTAATTTTGATTGCTGTTTTCCCATTTTCGTTTCCTTTTTTTACTTTTTTTATGAAAGAAAAAAAAAAAAAAAAAAAAAGAGGTGATAAAATATAAATAGACAATATGAAAGAGATAGTGAGAAACAGAGAAAGCAAAAAAAAAAAAAATTATCGTTATTATAAAGAATGTGAAAGAATGTAAAGAAAAAGAAAAAAAAAAAATAATAAAATTTATTGCATAATCAACAAAGAAAAATAAACTTCAAAATTTGCGAATTTGAAAGACACTAAATCAGGTTAAATAGGTTAAATAGATACACAAAAGATTAATAATAGGTTACTTAATCTTTTCTTGTGTTCTTTTTTTGATTCATGTGTGTTTTGTGTGTGTATATTTATTTATCAAACTATGAAGCCCAATATCATAAATATTTATTACTTTCAATAATATCCATCTTCTTACTATAAATTAAAAAATTAAACGATTTATTTTTTCTGTAATATAAATATTAAATTATTTAATTCATTATGGTTTAACTAGGCTTGATTAGACTTGATATAATTTAATGATACTTGATTATAATTTATGATTATATCAAATATAGAAAGAAATAACGATCAATTCTTGTTTTTTTTAATATTTTACAAATATTATGTTTATATGTATATTATGTAATATTCTTTATTCAAGGGAGTGTCGAAATTTAAACAAGGTTTTTATTCTGACAAAAAAAAAACAAATAAAAAACTAGCATACAGTATACGACAATCGTATGATACAAAACAAAATAAAGGGTTAAATAATGTAAAGCAATGCAAAGTAATGCATATAATGTGACAATGCAGTTTGATGAACATAATATTTCTCAATTTAAAACCGTTAAAAAAAAATTTAATCTTCTATACATTACATTACGAATACGTATTTAAATACTACTCTAAATACAGAAACAAAAAAAAATATAATTATTTAATCTACCACCACTCAACCCATCATAGACCAAAGTCTTTTACTAAATTCAAGCAATTCATTAAAACATTACACTTTAGAGATACGATCTTGCTGTTTTTGATTCAAGTTATTGATTGTTATGAATTCTTATTTATAAACAAAAAATGGGAATTTCCCTTTTTAGGGCTTTTAATGCCTTTTAATGGGAATTCTTTTAATGGAGTGGAGATCCTCACAACAAGATTTGATAGGTTCAATGCATGTTACAGTAGATGTAGATAAATCAACACCCGATCGTTACTCATGACCTCAGATGACCGCAGTTAAAGAATTTAAATATAAAAAAATGAATCAATTTTTTTTCTATTACTTCAAACTTTCCTGCATAATACATATGTAATTGTATTCAGAATAAGTTTAGAATATTTAATTTGTCTATAACTTTTTTATTCAACAGTTCTTTCATGTATGTATTTTTTCATTAATACAAAGAAAAAATGCTAAAAATGTTTTAGTCAAATATATTTAAGTAATTACGAAAACAATTGTGGATTCTTCGAAGGATTATTATTATTATTTTAAAAAAAATTACTAAAATTAAATTAAATTGTTATCACAAAAAAAAAATATATTTTTTTTTAATTACGATATATCTTTCAAATCCTTCAATCTTTCAAATCTTTTCAAATCTTTCAATCTTTTTTTCACAGGGAAAAAAAATTAATAGAAAATCACGTGTCTTGTAGTGAAATATTTTTAATTTCTCGGCAACAATACAAAGTTATTACATCATACATAAATTTGTTGAATTGTACAATACAATAAAAATAATGATAATTAAAAAGTGTGATTGTAAAGAGGTTTTTTTTTTTGATTGTTTTTTAAGGTGATAATTATATTGAAGAAGTAGACTATGAATTTGTAAATAATGCTTAAATTCTGTAATACCATAAATTACTGATAATGTAAATAATAATAATAAACCAAATATAAAATTCTACCCAAAATGTAAAAAAATATAATTTTTTTTTTTTGAAATTATTGATAAAGTTCAGCCACATACAAAAGAACACGGAAGGTGACACCGATAGCACGGACCACGATTTTAAGTGGAATTAATTATAACTTATCAATATTAATGATTTATAATATGATTTTTATTTGATATAAAATTATTTATACTATTAAGATATAAATGATTTATTATCCTTTGCATTAATTATTATTCTACGCCGTATTATAGTTTACGATATGAACTTTTTTTAATGCGGTGGGAATAATTTTTTTTTATTTTATTGGAGATTGAATTATTTGAATTAAATTTCTTTTTTTTGGAGGTACAGTTTTGGTATATATATATATATTTTATTATATATTTAATATTATTTAATTATTTTTGGCGGTGGTTAAAAAATTTTAATACATATAACTGCAATCGATATAGTGAGTACCCACATAACGTTCCCACATACACATTTGACTTTTGAAATTTTTTTTTTTTTTTTATGAAATCTTTTGTTATTACATAATTGATGAATCAGGTGGTAGCTAACTATATCCTTTCAAATATAATAATAATAAAAAGACACTTTCCTAATTCAATTATTAGCTCTTTAAAAAAAAAACTTATAAATACTTTTAAATACATCTTACGTTTTTTTTTTGCATCTCAAAAAGCGCAAATAATTAATTATTTCGATTCATCTATTATACATTTCTATAATTTCTATATATATATTATATTTATTAAACATGAATAACATGACTACAGATAATCCATGGAATTTTTTAGCTATGGCAGAAGGTATACATTAATCTTTTTTTTGATATCTCACACTTTCTTCTTTTACGATTTTTTTTTTCCTTATACACTTAATTCTGATTTTTTTTTTTTTAATAATATTCTAATTCTAATTATTATTATGAATATCATTTCATTTATTATTCTTTAGAAAACCCGGGCCAGGTTACATATGAAGAAAGGCTGTGGGACAAATATTTTGATTTGCCCAAAGAATCGGTACATTCCGTAAGGGGGGTTGACTATATAGTGACTTCTTGTGAGCCCCTTGACAACAACACCACCATCGACTACGCCGACCTCCCTACTCCCGGACTTATTCCAGATAATGATAATGACGAAGGACAACAACAATCTTCCATTTCTACTATAGAAGCTATCTCACCATCGACACTATCTGATATGGATATGACTTCACCAGAATTCGATAATGAGGAACTATTTAATGACAATAATAATAATAGTCATAATAATAATAATAATAATAATAATAATAATAATGATAATAGTTATAACCATAATAATAATAATACAGAAAAAGTACAAGCCACGGTTTTCAATAATACCAGAGGTCGCAAAAAAAGTAAAAGCAAAACCGAAAATGATGACGATGATAGTCCTGAGGAAAAGCGACGTAAATTTTTAGAACGAAATCGTGTAGCTGGTAAATTGATTTTTTAAATTATTTTTATTATATTTTATTATTTTTATTTTTTATATCAATTTATTTATTATAATTATATTTAATTAAAATAAATTTATTTATTTTTTTTAAAAAAAAAAATAATAGCATCTAAATGTAGACAAAAAAAGAAAGCAGCAATGGAAGACTTAAAAAGTAAAGCAGATAGCTTGGAGGCGGAAAATAACACACTTAAAACTCGTGTGAATGAACATCGGGAAGAATTGTTATCACTTAAAGACCTTTTACTCAGGCACGAAAATTGCTCTTGCAACATTATCCAAGAATACATAGTAAAATATTATCAACAATAATTATCTTTAACGGTCATATATTTTTTGAACGTTTCATATTAAAAGTCTGTAATTTTTTTAATGTTTATAATGTTTAATGTAATGTAATTTTTTAACGTTTTGTAATTTTTAACGTTTATAAATTTTACAATTCGTTTTTCGTTTTTTTTTTATCACGTTTGTATCATTTACCACTTTATAGCATTTAATAACAATTTTCTGCATTTTTCTTACCACTTATCATTTTTTTTTTTTGCGTGTTGCTTTTGGTAGAATTTAATAAAAATAAAAATATTTGAGAAATGTTACGTCATGTAAACAATTAAATTCCCGTATTCATTTTTTTCACGATGAAATTATGTAATTATTGTTGTTGTTTGAACAAGTTTTAATAAAAAAAATTAAAATTAAAATAAATAATAAATTTATACAAACATCTCTGCTTTCATTATGAGGTCATTATTATCACATATTTTGCACATCTGAATCTAAAAATAAAAATAATAATAAATGCGTCACGTCATCTCCCTTATGGTGAGAGAAAGATCAAAAGACCTTGAAAAATCAATCTAGAAAATTCAAATGTGAAAAGAATTCTCATAGAAATATGTTAATTCTCATAATCTAATAACCGTATACGATAATAATGTAAGAACTTTACATCAGAAATCGCCAATTTTTGTGTCTTGACTGCAAAATACTTATGATTTTTTTTTTCAATTGCTTGATACCATAATCATAACGGAATGACAAAAGTGAACTTTGATTTGCAATAACAGATGGATAGAACTAAAAGTTTTCTACCCAAGGGTCTACCATCATCATCATAATATTAAACCAATTTTACATTCCGCGGAGACTAATTGATTGGTTTAGGGACCACTCTCTAACAATTGACCAATGCAGGCTTTTTTTTGTTACCAAAATTTCGAGCAACGCAAATATTAAACAATTTTACCAGAAAAACCGGAGTAGATACATACCCAATCCTTGAAGGAAAAAAAAATTGATTATATTGACCAAAAGAATTGAAAAATAAAAAATGATTATCGACCGAGTGGATAAAAAAAGGAATTTGTAACTAATGGAGAACAGAAATAATAATAATCAATATATAATAAGGATGAAAATTTTTATTCTAATAGAAAAAACTTTGATATCATTCACTCATCATCACAAAATGGTATTAAGACGCAGTCCTTATTTATTCTATACCAATATCTTTTTGAAAAAAATATTTCAACAATTTAAAAAATTCAATAATATATTATTTGATAAAAATTCTAATTAATTTTAATTTTTAAATTTTTTTTTTTTTTTTAATAAAAATAAAAAAATTTTTATTATCATTCAAAAAAAAACTGCAAAAATTTATATAAAAAAAAAAAAATTTAACAAGCCATTATAGAAATTTGTATTAAAAAAAAAATCATCTTTCATTCTCAACTCTCTCACCAGAGAAAGGTGACCACCCGAAAAGATCTATAAAAGATAATTTAAAAAAATTTTTTAATTCATGTAGATCATGTAAAATTTTGATCACAAAAAAAAAAAGTAGACGTGAAACTTACTTGATAAATTTTGCCAGAATCCTCTGGCTGGCGTGTTGGGAGTTGTTGGTACTGGTGTGGTAGGAGTAGTTGGTGTTGGAGTAGTAGTGGGAGTAGTTGGTGCTGGTGTGTCAAACTCGGTGGGAATTACTCGAGTTGACGGTAGCGTGGTGGGAGTGGTGATCATATCCCCTATTTTTACTTCATGTGCTTCATGTGCTTCATGTGTTTCATGTGCGGGTTCTTGAGCTCGGCCGCGACCACGACCACGACCTCGACCTTTGCCCCCTCGACCCCGGCTTGATGAGGTTGATGATTCATTAGTGTTTGTTAAAGGAACAACCCACTCGGACTGTGATTGCTGTCGGGTCTTTCGCTTTGGAAGGTTATTTAAATATGCATACGTTTCACGTTGGGATCTCCGTGGACGTTTTTGCATTTTTTGAGATTGGAGAGATTGAACATTCTCAATTATCGATCCAATTGTACTTTCATTTTCGTTTTCGTTTGTAGATTCACTTATAGATGTTTCAGTGGCTTCATTTATTAAAAAGGACATATCATCTTGGTTTTCAATCTTGATTGTAGATATTTCTATTTTTTCAGTTTTTATGAAGTTACTTTCGTGATCGGGTTGTGATTCTTCTACCTTAATTTGGCTTTTTGGTGTGGTCTTTTGGTCAACGGTAACAATTGGAGTCGTGACTATTTCGGGAGGTGATTCGGCCATATTACTTGCTGATGGTAATGTTGATGGTAATGTTGATGGTAATGTTGATGGTAATGTGGGTGGTAATGTTGGTGGTAATGTTGATGGTAATGTGGGTGGTAATGTGGGTGGTAATGTGGGTGGTAATGTGGGTGGTAATGTGGGTGGTAATGTGGGTGGTAATGTGGGCGGTAATGTGGGTGGTAATGTGGGTGGTAATGTGGGCGGTAATGTGGGTGGTAATGTTGGTGGTAATGTTGATGTTGATGTTGATGTTGATGTTGATGTTGATACGGCAATATTAGAAGATGGGTTATTCAAAGCCTCGATGAATGCATTGTGCAATTCTGGTGACAAAGTATTGGCATCGAATTTACTCATACTATATGGTAATAGTTTATTGGCGAACCAATGTGTCGCCATTGATAATTGAATACCATCTCTTCTTCCTAAAACTGCACATTTCACCCATCCCTTGGCGTCATTTAAATCTGAGAATTCGAACGTGTCCAGGCTATGAGTCTTTCCAAAAGGTTTTGTTATTAATGCACTAAATCGTAGGCATCGTTCTTTTCTCATGAATTTCATTCTTCCCATTACGATTGCTACCGCCGATGGATTTTCAATGCATTCGGAAAGCGTGCTCACTCCTTTGGTCACATATACTCGAACAAACTCTCTTTTGGATGTTGATTCGTCAAGATTTGGTGACGTTGGATATATTCCGTCATTAAAATGATCGGTTAGGCCTTGATTTAAATATGAAAGTCGGTCAAGTACATTTGATGGAAGAGATTTTTTGATTGCAGCTGTTTGATGATTTTTGTTGTTCACGGTCGTTAATATAAAAAGGGGGCTAAATAGAAAAATATTAAATAAATAATTAACATCACATTTATAATATTTCATAATTTATTTACATATTATTTTATAATTAATTTCAATTAATTTGTTGATTAAAATAAAATTGTTAGGTAATAAACAAATAGATAATTTACCTATGCATAGAGAACTTAAAGGACTTAGAGTACTGAATTTTTTCGAAAGAACCATTTTTGAAGTTCTCTTCTGAAGGTAATGGCATCGAGTCAAAGAAAGAAATTTTATTGCCTTCCCCAAAGACAACATTTCTAAAAAAATATATATATGTAAGATATTGGATTAATAAATTATTTAATTTGATTAATTCGATTAATTATCCAGGTAAAAACTTATACAATAATTTAATTTTACACGATAATTTAATTTACATAAAAAAAAAAAATAATAATAATAAAAAATAATAATAATAAAAAAATAATAATAATAAAAAATAATAATAATAAAAAATAATAATAATAAAAAATAATAATAATCAAAAATAATAATAATAAAAAATAATAATAATAAATAATAATAATAATAATAATACATACGAAAGGTGTGGATATAGATGTTGAGTAAAATAATCACACATCTGTTTTGCTTCATCATAGATTTTACCTTCACGATGAAAGGTTATGGCATTAGATAAAATCTGTACGATGTCCGCATACAAACTATTAAGATCCCTATATTGTCCAGCCCATAACTTATTTTCCGCTGTAGTCAAATCCATCAAATGACTAATTACACTTCTATATAAGACAGCGTCATCAGGTACAGGATTAATGAATGGTCTTGAGCAAGCCTTTGTTAGAAGTTCATCAAACAACCAAGTTCCAGCACGAAGTAATTCTGCACGAGATAATTGTCGTGGGTCAGGTCTTAGTGTGTTTACAAATTCGAGCAAGATCCTAACAGGTGTATCTTCAGACGAATCCATATTACTTGAAGCCGAGTGACTTCTCATTCGTTTAGGTTGCGGAGCACGTCTAGACGGACTTGCTTCTAAGCTTCCGGGGGAGCTTAAAAGTGAGTTTGTGCTTCCTGCGTTTCCAGTAGAAAACTTTCTTTTCCCCCTTTGAGGTTCTTTGCCTTCATTATTTTGGATTGTTGATAATACATTGGCAGCTGATAACATTTCGGCTGTATTTATTGTTTCGGGTTGTTCTGTAGGAACAGGAACGGGTGGGTTTGATTTTCTTTTTCTACCCGGACCTCTCTTTACTTCAGTATTGTTTGTATCGTTGTTGGCATTATTGATATTATTTGGTGATTGAGGTTTTTTTTCCTTATGTTTTCGACCTCTTGTCTTTGCCATAATTAATTTTTAAAAAATAATAATCGAGCTTGACGTCCGAGGATTTAAAATAATTTGAGTAAAGAAAAATATATCCTTTTTTATTTCGTTGATTTGAAGATATAACGAGTCACCGTAATTCATTGAGATTAAAATTTTCAAAAAGATTTGAATGAACCTTATATATTAAAATATTTTTTAAAAGTGTTACGTAGTTAATCAAGGGTGTATGATAACGGTCATAACGATTAACGACGATTAACCAATTTGGTTCGATGCAATTCACAAAAATTCCTTTTTCGTTTATACAAAATCACAAAAACGTGTAAAATCTTTTACGACGTTAAATTGTAGCAATTGTAGCAAATCGTTAAACTCGAAAATTCATAATATCTATTTTTGTGCCATAAAAAAAAATAAAATAAAATAAAATAAAATAAAACGCAATCGATTGATTCACAAAGAAAAAAAAAAATTACCTATTTTATACTTAAATTATGCATAATTTCTTTAGTTAAGACGCGTCACAACGCGTAAATGATATCAAAATATAATATTATTACATGGATATGGATCTAATTAAGTAATTAAGTTTCTAACATAAATTTATGTATTAATTTCTATATTTGAAATCGAAATTCAATGAGCGAAAAAAAAAAAAAATCACGAAATAGGAAATCAATGAAATCAAAATTATTAGCAAATACTTTTATTTCAAATTTATACTTTGTGAAATAAAAATAAATAAACGGTAATGTTATAATGTTGATTACTGGAATTTATACAAGATCCTTTGGAAGATTCTGTTGTGAATTATTCGTTCTTCATAATATTAACTCTTGGTTGCATGGTATCAGTTATTGTAGAAAAATAGAATTTTGGTATTAGTAAAAATTGATTTTTCGATCGTAAATAAAGACAACTAATTTCGTTCTCCACCTTGATTATATTAAAATCAGGATTGGGTGAGAATTTAAGTTCAACATCTCTACATCAAATATAAATGCGTGAATGACGCTTTAAGTATCTTCACAAATTTATCCACTTCTTTACGTGTCAACGAGTCAAATTTGGAATTATTTAAATTAAATTTACGAATAGGAAATTTGTTATTTAATAAATAAATAAAAAATTTATATAAAATTTTTTTTACCTCAGAAAGAACATAACCTTTTGCATTTTGGATATCTTCGCTAACACCAATATGTTATTATTCAACCACAGTTTTTTTTTCGAAACATCTCATCTATTCGCCACTAGTTAATTGATCATGCTTAAAATCTTCAAGTTTGATTTTCCTAATATATATATATATTCATGGTTTTGTTAGTAAACAAATAATTTTCAAATCGAACAAAAAAAATCACATATATTAATAAATACATTTGATCATATTTATTTCATTATCCTCTTTACTTCATAAGTTCACCATCTTCAATAAATCATATTCACCCGGTTCTGGGCAAGTTAAGTCTATTAATGTAGGATTAATTCAAAAATAAATAAAATAAACAATTTAAAGTTAAAAAAATATCCAAATTTTGTGTGATGAACTGTGGTATCATCATAACACGAGGTTATTGATTGATAATATATACTTTCTTTTTAGGTTATCGTAAGCATGAGAAAATGTCTATGCCATTGGTATTCATTTTTCTTTGGATTTAAAAAATTCACAAAAAAAATGATTTTATTGATTTTCTATAGAAAGATCCAGTAGATCAGCAAACCATTTTTACTTATATAAACCATTTTTTTCGATTCTTTTTTTGAGCTACCCTTTTTCCGTCTGCTTGTTAATTTTAAAACTTTAGAGTAACGATATTAAATTATAATAATTTCATTTGTTTTTTGTTATTACCTTTACTTTCTCACTTCGCGAATATCCAAAAATTAGTTTTCATGAAATAATTATATCCAAGTAAGATATTATTCCTTATATTTTTTAGTTTTTCTTTATCTTTACAGATACCTCCATCATTTGTAGCAACGAGTACCCATGTAATGCTTAAACCCGAGAGTTATACTGTGTTAATGTGTATCAAATGAAGAGTGATGAGGGTGCGGTATAAAGGTACCTGTTAAATGTCAGTGCGACCAACCACTATTCTTTTTTAAAACAGATTTATAGGGTCCTTTTTTTTTTTTGTTAACTGACTGCCAGAGTTAGTTTGCTACAAGGTATCTTTGTTGCATGCAATACTCGTCTTGACTTGAGTTGCTTTCACGAGTGCAAAGTATTTTCTGTTTTAAACCGAATGATGTTTCCTTAGTACCTGTAGCAATCCTGAGTGGTTTCCAGTTTCCCCCCAGAGTTATTGTAGGAGCTGTTGTTTCTCTCTCTATCTTTTTTTATTTATTTATTTTTTAATTTAATTTATTTTTTAATTTTAGGTACCGAATAACGAACAGTGAACGAACAGTGTGAATGAACAGTGAACGAACGGTGAAAGAAAGTTGAACGAACATGTAAGATAAGTTTTATAAAAACAGAAAGGGCAATCTTTATTATTATTATTTCAAAAGATTTATATTAATTATTATTGTTTTGAAATTACATTGTTAAATTTTTTTTTAAAAAAAAAAAAAAAAAAAATTTGAAATTTACAAATTAATAAAGCAAACACTTTTTTCCAAAAAAAAAAAAAAAATGTTAATTGCACTGAAGTTTTTCATTCTGTTAAAGAAAATAGATAATTTAAGTTAAAGTTTGTGTACTTTATTTTATAAAAATTTGAAACTTTGATAGCATTACATTACATGCTGACTTCAATTTAAAAAGGAAATTACATCACTGTTGAATTTTCCTTTTTTTTATTGTATTTTAGCTTACAAATATTACAAATAAATCAAATGGAATAAGTTTTATATCTAGATTAATTTCCTGTGACGTTACACGATTTCTATCGCGTTATTTTTACGCGTAAAAAGTATTATCATTTATGCTATTTATGCTATTTATGCTATTTATGTATTTATGCTAGTTGTGTAATCATATTAATTAAATCTAGTCAGGTGAATTTTGTAAAAAGAGCGCGGAACCGTAAATTTCATTTGGTTGGCGTATTTTGAATTGCATAATAATGATACCAAGAAATTATGTACAGTGGAAACAGAAAAACCATAACTAAAGCACAAGAGACAAAAAAAATTCTTTAAAGGGGTGAGTAATAATTCAATGTGAGAAAGATTTTTAAACCTTTTTTCAATTTTTTATTTTTATGTGTGTTAAAAGAAATTTATTCAAAAAAAGCGTTATTATGAACAAAGAAAGAAAGAAGAAAGAAAGAAAAAAAAGAAATGTTAGAAGTAAAAGCCATATCCAAAGCTCATTATGAAAATAATCTTCCAAACAGGGAAGATTCATTTATTCTTTCTATTTTTATCTATTTCACGAAAAAAAAAATAATTAAAATAAAATTAATGTCACCTCATGTTTTATTAATGGAATGCAGATTATCTGGCGTTTATTTTTGATAACGATACGATAATACTCTCCTTTATTGTTAAGAACAATAAAGTCAATTGATAGAATATATATGGAATATTGGGATGCAAGTGTACTCCATATTAATTACTATATATTATTAATATTTTTATTATTATTATTTTTTTTATTATTACTATTATTTTTTTTCTAAAGAAAAAAAATCTTGTAAGGAAATATTTTTATCATAATATGGATCGCTGCAATAAGGATATTCATGAAATGCCATATCTGATATTAGTTATTAATTCTATTCACTATTGTATTATTGTATTTATTTATTTTTTTTTTATTTATTTTATTTATTTTCAATGCTGTATTCTCAATAAATTTCTAAATTTATTTTTCAATAAAAATATCCTTAATTACGGCGGCAAAAAGATATCAATGATAGGGTAGGGGAGTGATATCTTATCTGATGATATACAGAATTGATGGGGTAAATGAGACAAAGAATTTATTTAAAGTTAATGAAAAGAAAAAGAATGAAAGTTGACAGATAATAATGACAATGAAAAAAAATGAAAATAAAATAAAATAAACTAAATAAAAAAAAAAGGATGATCTAACAGCATAAAAAAAGATAAAAAAGCCGAGAAGACGTAAAGACAGACAAATAAGGTGATATCAATTTGATTGTTTATTATATTTAGTTAATCTCCTAAATTTATTATTTTTATTATTTTTATTATTTTTATTATTCTTTTTTTTTCTGCAAATATTTCATATTATACTCTATAAACTGCAAACAGAATGCAAGTGAAACCTTCAATTATTATACAGTAAATTCAACAAGTGGTGAGAATTTTAAATATAAGTAATTCATTCACTGACTATGTGTGTGTATGCAATTCATTCACTGTATACTGTATTTGTAAAATTATTGTGGTTCCATAAATAATTGTATCAAAAAAAATTATTATCAATTATATATATTAAAATTATATTACAGTATATTAATTATTTATATAAAAAAAATTAATTAAAAATTAATAAAATAAATTAAAAATTAAAATATATTTAAATCTTCTAATCATTATATTAAAAAATCATTAAATATATTTCTTTGTTGACATATTACTTCATACATTTTATATATTTGAAGCATGTACGGAAAAGTATATTTGGATCTCGGTTACCCAGGAAGTTCACTTCACATGCATAATTCGAGTACCACCACTTTATTATTATATATAAATCGTAAAATTTTCATTTTTCGTTTTACTTACAAAATATATTAAATATATTGTATATATTAGATTTTATATATCTCTATTTATCTATATCAAAAAAATATATATATCAAATATAATATCCGAGAAATATATATATCAGCGAAATATTTATCAATATTCATAAGAGAAATATATTTTAATAATATACATCGCTCGGTATAAAAATTTTGTTAAAAAAAAAAAAATGTCGAAAAAAAAGACTCAAGCCCGTCAAAGAACTTTTCGTAACGATGATTTACGTTTTGAAGCACTTACTCATAAGTCTTTTCATTATGAAAATCCTTCCACCGGACCACACAATGAACGACTAGAATTTTTGGGAGATTCTATCGTCTCTTTTGTGGTTGCCAACTACTTATTTCGTCGGTTTCCAAATTTTAAAGAAGGTCAACTTACTTTATTAAGAGCAAATCTGGTTTGTAAAAAAAAGTTGGCACAGTTCGCTCGTGAAATTGGTTTAGATATGGATATTCGACTTGGAGTAGGAGCTTTAAGAGACGGAGGAAGAGCAAGTGAAAAAGTTTTGGAAGATGCTTTTGAAGCATATATTGGTGCAGTATTTCTTGATTCCGGTTCAAGCATGTTTGCTGTTCAAGAGTTTATGGAACCTTTATTATCTCCAGCAGTTGATGAACTCACTCGTTATTCTTCAGCAAACAAACCTTCGACATATAATCAACAAGATAATTATAAGAGTGATCCTTTCGCTTCCTTTTCATCTTCCTTTTCATCATCATCATCTTCATCCTCTTTCTCTTCTTCTCCATCATCATCATCGTCATCTTTCTCTTCTTCTCCTTCCTCCTCCTCCTCCTCATCAATTGGTAGTGGTGGATTTTCTTCTTCCGATCTCATTTTACATTCCGATCTTCAAGATCCCATTAATAAACTTCAAACTTGGTCTCAACGTAGAGGATTAGGAATTCCAGTTTATCAACCTTATGGAGAAGTTGATAATGCAATTTTTACAGTTGGAGTTTTAATAAATGGCAAATGTTATGGAAGTGGTCAAGCGAGAAATAAAAAAGATGCCAAAAAAGAAGCAGCTATTAATGCACTTGATTATGTCACCACCGGTACTTTCAATAATAATCACAATATCATTAACAATATCAACAACAACATCAACAACAACATCAATAACAACAACAACAACAACAACAACAATAATAATAATATTAATCATAATTTTAATAATCTCAATAATATCAACAATTGTATTAACAACAATAACATTAATAACGTGATACTTAAATCTGGTACTAGAAATGTTAACAATAGAATAAATCATATGAGGAATGAATTTCATTCAAATATTCATAATAATGGATTCTTTCATCCTCAACCTAATCGATTAAGATTTCAATAATTTATTCCCTTTTTTGGGTTCCTGATATTCTTTCTTCCTCCAAAGTACCGTGATCTTCCGTGTAGATCAACTCCAATTCTTTTTTTATTTTATTTTTTTTTTGGTCTCCCATTTATTATTCATTTTTCTACTTTTGATTTTTAATTATTATTATTATTATTTTATATATATATGTATATATGTATGTATATATGTATGTATGTATGTTATTACATTTTTTTTTAAAAAAAATTTTTTTTTCAATTTTTCTTTTCGAATGAAAAGATTTGGTGATAGAATTATTCTTATATATATATATAAAAATATATATATTTTGATGAGTTGATTCACACCGAAGGTTATTGTTCTATTCTTTTTTTTTTTTGATTCCCTTTGGGTTTGGTTTGCGGAGATGGGTTGAGGATTATAGTATTGATTATAGTGCCGAATTTTGATCCAGTTTATTTTCCTTTAATTATTTTATATATATATATATCAATATATTATTATATTTATGATATTTTTTAAATTATGATGTTTGCTATATTACATATCTTTATGATATCATTATATTACATATATTATTATTTTATTACTTTATTATTATATTATTATTATATTATAAGACAACATATAGAATATATTTAACAGCATATTAACAACAACAACAACAACAACAACATACAATATATTTAATAATATAATCTTTTCTTTCTCTTCAAAGTTAGAAATCAATTTTATTATTATTTCAATTATTTATTAATTTATATGTGTACGTGTATAGTTATGTTTGTATGAAATATTATTATTTATTGTTATTATAATATGTTTTTTTTCTGATAGATTATGATTTTAACAATTATTAATTATGAATATAAATTAAGTTTTTTTTTATAATAAATAAAAGAAATCGTATCACTTTTAAGAGTTCGTTTTAAATAATATTCATTAAATACTTTCACTAAAAGAATCAAACACTAAATGAATATTTTAATTTTCAAATTTTATTCTATTTTTATCTATTCTAGAAGTTAAACAATTACAATAATCTCAGAATAACTTGAATTAAATTAAATTATTTATTTAGATAATCAAATTAATAATTAACTTTTTTAATCAGAACTGTATAAATATGTATGTATCCATTTTTTATACATTTTATACATCTTTCTTTTATGCAAGAAGTTGTATATCTGTGCATCTGTTTTTTTATATATTCTGTTGTGAAATATCAATTTAACATTTTTGAATTTGTTTTATTTGTTTTATCATTATACTTATTATAAATTAAATTAAATTAAATGGAAAGGATCATTCAATGTAAGAAGTTATATAATTAAAAACAAATTTGAACAGAAATTATACACTTTGAATCAACTAACACATGTCAAATAAGGAAAAACTGTTAATTTTTTTGTCAAGTAAGCAAGGAATATTTGTAGATCATTCACAAATAGAAAAAAACAAGCAAATAGCCAAAAACAGACAGGAATATTTGTAAAATAAAAAGATGTGATTTGAATTAAAAATTTTGCCAATTTTGTATTTAACATGTGTAAAGCCATACAGAAATAGACCAAATTGGAAATCACAAATAATCATTGCTTGAACATGAAAAAAAAATTCCATGCTTTAAAGAAAAATCAGGTACAACTTTAATCCCTTACAGTATATAGTAGTAAATATTATTGTCACTGGTTAAAAGGCATATTAGCACCTGTATATATAATATTATAATATTGTATAATCCAAATAATATATTTTTCTTATCCATTTAGCTTTGCTTGCTAATAAATACTTACATATAATAGAGGATATATAAGCTATAATCTGTTATGCACCATTGTAATTTACTTTATCAACATATTGAGTAGATATCATTATATATTATAATGATATCTGCTTACATTATATTGTTACTTACTTATGAGTATATTGATATCTACTTATGGGTATATTGTTATCTACTTATTGTTGGATATCTATTTTGCCATCTATTTAGCTTGATATTTGTTTCCTTTTGATGGGATTTTTAACTTTCTTTAATTATTTAACTACTTTTCTTGATTGTGACTGAAACATGTGCCAAGAATAAGTACAGCATACTGTAACTTGACATGCAATTTGCATTTGCCTTGTTATTTAAGTGACATGTAAATCACAAAACTCAAGTCATTCAACCAGGTCACATGGAAAAAAAATGTACCTGATGATGTATTCAATCATGTGTCATTATTTGCAGATCCAATATGAGAGCTATGTCTGAACTTGATACATAGTGCCTTAGTTTTCTGGCTAATTCCTCTACAAAGACCAGGTTTAAGACATATAGTGCTGAAATAGTATTTGTGATCTTTATATAATACATTCAAATACTGATTAAGGATAAAGCATATAGTGCCAAATTGTTAACAGTTGTTAACTTTATATAATTCATTGAATATTACCTGATTATAAAACATGTAGTACCAAATTGTTATCCATTTGATAGTAGGCAAAAATATAATTTCATATATATCTATATTTCTGTATTAATTATATCTTTGACTATTACTAATTTAATATTCAAATACTTCAATAATGCATTTGAATATTGATCAAAGATGAGACTAAAGATGGTGTTACCTCTGCTTTTATTTTTATATTTATTAATTATTTATTTATATATTTTATTATCATATTTATTCATATCTGTATTATTTTATTATTAATTATTATATATTTTATCATTATATATAGTATTACAGTAGATCAATTTAATAGTCTGTAGTACAAATTAGATATTATTACTTAAATTAGTAAATTCCTAAATTCTTGTTAATCTGTAATACTAGAACACAAAGTTAGAGTATAAGCCAGAATACGAGTTAATATCTCAGTCAAAGTACAAGTTAAATTAACAGTTAAGGTACTAGTCAGAATATTAACATAGTTACTAGTGAAGTTTACAATCAGATTACAAGTCAACTTAGCAGTTAAAATTATAATATATATAAAGAATGAGAATTTCCTTAACTCAGTTTTCAGTTTCTATTTAGTTTCGAATTCAGTTCTTTAGTTTTTAGTTAGGATTTATTAAGTAATAAAGTTAATATTACAAAATCCTTTAAGTTCCTTATTTATTGTATTTTTTTAATAATTAATAAACTGTTGCTCCTATTAACAAGTCTTCATATCACTGTTAATAGTTAAATATGTCTTTTTCATAATTGATCGTACTTAATTTTTTCTACGTATAAACTCTTATATTATGATTATTTTATTTTGAAATTAGTAATTCTTATAGTTTTATTTAGTCTTGTTTATTAGTTTTAATTTTTTTTATCCTGTTGTCTTTGTAAATTGTAGAAAGTTTATACAGATAACAATGCTATATTCAGACCTAGGCAAAAATATGCTTAGAGATATTTAAAAAGTTTATTTTATTAATTAAAAATTATTTGTGAAGTTTAATATTAATTTAATTTAATTTTGAAATAAATAAATGTATTTTAATTAAAAATAAAAAAGTTTTATCACAATCTTTGCTTAATGATGAATTTATTTCTTTTCAAATTTCTTCTTATCTCCAGGCCAATAAATTTCAAGTTAGTTCTTTATTATTGAAACAATATTTTGAAGAAAAAATACTTCCAGAATTAAATATTGAAATACCACATACAATATCTGTTAAAACAGTACATAGATGGATGCATAAAATGAGTTTTAGACATACTCGTTATCGAAAAAGAATATTTATTGATGGTCATAATTGTCAAGATGTAATTGTTTACTGTAAAAAGTTTTTTGAAACTGTTAGCCATTATGAACAATTTATGTTTCAATGGTTAGATAAAGAATGCAAAATAAGAACATATCCACAATTGAATTTAGGAGAAAAGGTACATATCCAGATTATACATAATGAATCTATATTTTATTCTTATGATAGATCTCGTGAAGTTTGGGGACTAGAAGGAGAGTGTCAATTACGTAAAAAATATCAAGAACAAGATATACGTGTTTCAGATTTTTTAACAGAAACTATCAGTCCATTAAAAGATAAATATGATATAACTAGAGTAATCATGATATTGGATACAAATTATGATAGATATTGAAATGGAAAAAAAATAGTTGTACAATTACATTGTATAATTGATATTTTTGAGTGCACACATTCAAATTGTATTGGTATATAGGCTTTTGATAATGCAACTTCATATACTGCTTTTGTAGCTAATGCCTTAGTTGCAAGTAAAATGAATAAAGGACCAGGTGATACAATACCAATTATGCATATCACATTTTGGAATGGACAAAAAAAATCAATAATAATTAAAAATGATTTCTTTATTATTGATTCAAAAACAAAACAACAAGTTAATTTACGTAGTAAGCCTAAGGGTACGGAATGGATTTTAAAAGAGAGAAATTTATAACAAAATAATATGATATTAGATTGTCAAGCCTGTTTGAAAAAAAATTCCAATCCTAATATAATTAACTATTATGCTTGTTGATTACTTACTAATTAATCAGATTTTCTTGTACAAAAAGAATTAATTTAATAAGAAATTAAATTCTGAGGTCATTTATTGATCATATTTTATTTTATTCTTTTTTTATTAAAATTTTGATATTATATAAATTATTTTTTATCTAAAATTTTATCCAGAATTTAATATATTAAACCATATTGCGGTGCAGCTAAAAGGTACACTTGAAATAATCATTAAAAAAAATTTTTCTTTGGTTTTTGAATCTATATCTATTGAAACAATTCATTCATATACAAGATTATTTTGGTATTGGATGGATGTATACAGACATCAATTGGCAAGAAAATTAGCAGAATATACTGTAAAAAATAATAAATCACATAGAAGAATTAATGAAGATGTAATGAATTGAATTAATGTTTTATTGAATTAAAAAATTTTTTCTGAAATCTGATTGGCTATTTTCATGCTTACGTAACCATTTTTATAACTTGTAAAATTGACTAACATCTCATGAAGTTGATTATTTTTACTGTTCTCCACTATATTTCTAAGATAGAAAGAAAGGTCCTGTTCTTAGTTATAAAATAATCTGTGTTTCATCCAGATAGTATCAATATTTGCGGAGTTATTCTAGTTTAAAGATAAATGTCCATGCCAAAAATTTTTTTACACAATTTTTTTCATAGACATTTTTCTTAAACTAGAATTTCTCAACGAATAAAGATGTCATCTGAATTAAATACTGCTATCTCTATTTTATTTTTAAATTTATTAATTATTTATTTATATGTTTATATATTTTATTATTTTATTTATTCATATCTGTATTATTTTATTATTAATTATTATATATTTTATCATCATAGTATTACAGTAGATCAATTTAATAGTCTGTAGTACAAATTAGAAATTATTACTTAAATTAGTAGATTCCTAAAT